ACATTTACGTAAAAAATCCATAACGTGGGTGACGGGGACGCTGAAAGAGATGCAATCTCTTTCTTCCTCTACCTATAGACTTCAAACAAAACAAAAATATTTCTTACAAAAGTTATACTAGGAATAATACTAGGAATACGGGGAAATAAACAAACATTTCTAGTTACCAAATTTTGGGCACATGTGCCGTGTCATATGAAATTTACAAATTAGCGCCCAAAACGGATAGAAAACTAATTATAATCTAAATTTGTTTTCGCCAAATGAGTTATATACGAAGATTACACCAAAAATACATCATAATCTATTTGCAGTATTTAGGATGTATAAAAATGATAACTCGGTGCAAATTCTTCAAACAAGTTTTAGAGTGGTGTTGACCACAACAGCTGTCTTTCTATATCTTAATAGTGCGTTTGATGGTGATAATTATGCAATACTATTACTACCAATAAGAATTTTCCATAAGAATGTGTGGAAAATCCAAGATACGTCTATGTGCATACAGTATTAAGAGCCTCATCTTATCATTATTAACCTCATACAATTATAACATGACCTTAACGCGCCCCCTTCCTCACTGCGTCATTAAAAACGTGTTCAATCTATATTGTGTTAGGCTAGATATTACTCATTAAATTGTTGAACATTGTAAAATTATAATAATATTGTAACGAATGAGATACAATGACCATTTTATATATCGTTATATCAAAAACTATATGATATAGCAAAAGATATGAAGATATTCATCATTATAAATTGATAAACTAATATTATTATTATTATATTTATATTATTATTTATCTTAGATACTGCTTAGCATTCATATGAAACTGGCATACTATTTGTACGAACGATATGTTACCACCTATTGTTTTCTACCAGTCCATCCTCCTGTTTAGGTAACAATGAGAACCATTGTACATATATATATATTTACGTAAAAGACAATTAGAAAGTAGACGCCGGTACTATTGAATTTGGACTGACCGGAAAAGTTTTGTACAGATGTTGCCTAAAACTTACCCTAACCTAACCTTTCTAGGCCTTATATAATGCGTATATGTGCTTCACTAGGTCTATGAATTTTTAAGTTTGTTTTTTAGCTTTATTTTTCAGTACTATAAATTATAAAGAGAATCCAGTAGTACCAAATTTTACAGTCTGAAAGCAAAGAGCTAAAAACACAAACTTAAACAATCCTATTTCCAGTATAATACATACTGGTACTATTTTAGTCTCAGATAGCGTGTATTAGGCCTAGGAAGGTTAGGTTAGGGTAGGTTTTCTTAGCAACATCATTAATAAAAAAATACAGTTTGTCCAAATTCAACAGTACCAGTTTCTACTTTCTAATTGCCTTTTACGTCAATATATGTACGGTGGTCCCCCATCATTAGTATAATTACTACATAAACAGGAGGATGGGCTGTTTCCTAATTACAGTAACTCCTTATCCAGATATCTGCTGGAAAAAAAGATACTTATTACACACGGCTGTCATTAGGCTCCGTCCAAAAAATACTATTACATAATCCAGATTAAATTTATGCACGCGTACGGAGAAAAATTAAACACGAAAATTATAAATTCTTAGTACCTACCAGAGCTGATGTCAGGACGGAGTGAAGTCTTGCTCGCCGTGGGTGTTCTGTGCGGCAGGTTCCCACCTACATCAAGTGGCCCGCCATGATGTACACAACACTTTTAAATTAACACACGGTAACACGCCGCACTTAAGTGAATTAGGATACTTGTTCACTTTTTTCCTTGTTCACTTATTTTACGTATATGCAATATGCAACTAATCTTTTTGGCTACGTTCTTAAACATAGTATATACAATTTAAGACGGTATACACTTTTGTAAATAATGCATAGTTATAATGTTTGTTTTTTAAACAATAAACAAATTAACGACACTACACTTTGTTTATAGTACGACCATTAAAGGTTAATCAAGGAAACAGCAGAGATTATGGTGCTTTTTTGTGACATTAATATTCATATGCACATAGCCTCAAGAATGTCTTCCAAGTGGCACTCAAGCGTTCCTGATATGAGAGTCGACTTAGTTCTAGAATGATGATTGTCACGTGTTGAATTTTCAAATTAGATATGTCATAAGATAAGGTCCCCGTGCTAGGATACAGTAGTCGTGATAGGAGCGCACCAATTAAAAATAAAACTTTTCCTTGAAGTAAAAGGTTCGTTTCACTATTCCTTGAGTTTGGTTGGAATGTTTTACTGCATCTTCCACTTGTGCAACTTCTTTCAATGACTGTTGGATTCTGACTCCAAGATCCATTTCTTCATCAATCTGCTGCAGTATTATTGATTTAGTAGTTGTGGTTGTATATGGGGCATAATAATACATAGTTCTTGCACTTTTTCAATAATACAAATAATTTGCCAGTCTTTCAACCATTTGTGAAGTTCATGCAGGTCCCTTTGAAAGGCCTCGGTACAATTTTCACTTTCTACTTTATCACTAATCGTAAATCTCATGCACAAATTTGATGACGTAGTTTGCAATATTCTCATCTATGTCATCAATTATATATGATAAATAGAGCTGGTCCCAAGATGGAGCCTTGCGGTACTCAACTCACTACATCACTCGGATTCATTTCCATTTAAAACGACCCTTTGCAGGTGGAAACAGAAGAGTGGATTGAGGTTCACGAGGGCCGCTCGTGTTGCCGCGCACATCCTTAATATTGCTTCAAAGTTAAAGCCTCGCATGACGTGGTAGCCCACAAAAACCATCTGCTGGTCGTGATCTATTATAAGAAGTTGTCGGGGAATCCCGAAAAAATTAACAAAGCAGACTTGGAAGTTGGGTATATGGTCGTCTGCACCCACAGATGTCATCTGCTCCCTTTACACCCTCACTTCATCTGTTGTTGCTAGGTATTTCCACACCCTCAGACATTGAAGTTAATTCGTCACCACTATTGGTTGAGTAGTCACTCGAGTAGTATAATAATCCAGTAATATCATCGTCACCAACACGGCATGGGCAACTGTCCAAGTTCACTTGATGAAAAAGTCGACTGACGTGCACCCTCCATGACAGCTGGGAGGGCACTGAGGCGCTTCTTCATGACCGCTGAAGTGCCCTCTTAAGTATACAGCCAGAGACCTCTGGCGGTGACAACCATAAACCATACATCTGATGAATTGTGTTCCAGTTTCCCAGACGTCTAGTGCTCACAACCTCGGTCAGCCACACCTTACACTTGTCGTCTTCATACTTTCTCAACCACACCTTATAAGTGCCCGGTTTCCTAAAACGAGCCTATATTGAAACCACATCTTATACTTGACCTACGCTTGTATCCCCCATTCACATCTTATACTTGCTCTAGTGCTTCCTTCTCTACCCACACTTTATACTCTTCGTATTTCTTTCCCACTCACACCTTAATACTTGCTGAAAGAAGCGTTTAGATAATGTTTTCCTTCACTTGATGCTTCTTTTCATCTATTTTTTGTTTATTTATACACAAAAAGATACATAGTTGTTTGAGTACATAACATCGGTGTTAGAGCGTTACATTCTTACAAAGCCACTAACAAGCATATAGCGTTTCGGGCACGTCCTTAATCTTACTGATAAAAATAAAAGTATTAATAGGTACATTGTCGCAGAATTTGAGTTCAACATATTAACTACCTACCTACCTTGTGGAGGTTCTGGGGATCAAAGGACTCGAGGCCCGGTCTCCGATCAGGCCTCCCATTTGGTGGTCAACCAGGCTGTCGGACACAGCTGCTCGCAGCCTGACGTATGAATTGTATTCTTTGGGGGTGTTTGTAGAGTTCTCTCTTGAACACTGCGAGAGGCCGGCCAGTTATTCTCTGTATGTGTAGCAGGAGAGTGTTGAAAAGTCTTGAGCCCTTTATGTTGATGGAGTTCTCCCACAACGTACCTATTGCACCTCTGCTTTTCAATGGGACTACTTTGCACATCCTGCAATGTCTACTAATTTCATGTGATGTAATCTCCGTGTTCACATTTGGAACCAGTCCCTCTAGCATTTTCCACAACTACAGTATAAATTTATAGCATTGACCATACTGCTTTAGTTGCATGTCCAAAGTACTGTACTAAAATTGGGTAGCGCAAGATACAGTGTAAGTTTGGAGAACAAGGTAGGAAACTATAAGGATGAAATTATAAATTTTGTGGTTTTACTTTTAAATAAGGCATAGGTTGGACAAATGTGTAATTCATTAGGGAGTGAGTTCCATAGGATGGGTTCTTTTATTTGCATGGAGTGTTTGCACAGATTTATTCTGACTATAGGAATATCAGATATTTATTTCTGGTGAGGTACTCATGTGTTCTATTACATCTATCAAGGAAGAGTTTCAGATTAGAAATAGCATTTAGAAATAAGGTTTGTACATGTAAATAGTTATAAATAATTTTGTACATGTACATTTTACAGTTTTGATAACAGATTTTTGCTGGGTGATGATGGGTTTGAGGTAATTTGCAGTGAATGAGCCCTATGCACAGATATAAGCCTAGGGTTTACCAAATTTACCAGAGGGGGGCGGGGTGATCTCGACGACGACAGGAAGCCGGCAGCTTGTCACCGTTTGCCTTGATGATCTATTCCAGGTATATTTTAAAACAGTTTTGGTATTTACGACTTCGGCGGGTAGGCAGTTCCATGGGTGGGTGAAAAAGAATCTCCTGTTTTCGGTCCTACATTGTGGCTTGTTGAGTTTGAAACAAGCATATTGAGGCCCTACAGAAAGATCTACATCAACTCTACAATTGGTCAGATGACTGGCAAATTTACCTACCTGAAGGCTACCATCTGTCTAGTGGCCTGAACAGGGACTTGCCCTGAACTTCTTGATTACACAAGACCTCATTAAGTGAGTAAATAAATTTAAAATGTCCACTCAGCACTCTTGGTGCTGGCCTGTAATAAGTAAAGCAATGCAAAACATTAATTTAAGGACAAAACAAACCAATCATTTAATTTATTAAGATTCTATTTCTGACAAATCTAATAAATAACAGTATTGAAACAGTTTGCATATAACAATGTATTTTATAATACTGCTCAATGCCTAATATTTTTACAATGCAAATTGTTTAAAATGCAATAATCATGGCACAGTATATAAATTAATGTATTTCTGAAAGAAAAATTAAACATTGAATGTAATGAACAACCTTTTGGTGGGCTCCCAGTAGGTCCCTGTAGCTAAGTGCTGGACCAACAAAGCTTTAGAGAGACACACTAGGCCTTTGAAACTCACCCTTGCCTACCAGGAGCCAGCACCAGAATGTGACACTCTACAAGGCAATGGAAGTTTGGGGATAAGATATCACCACAAAATGGAGAATAAACCTATCAGAAAGCATAAGCAGAACAAAAAAAAGCACCTGCTTGAATAAAATTAAGTACCAGCTGCATTAATAAGAAAGCAAGCTATCACTGCCACTAGGTTAACACCCTAATTGGGATGTGCCAGGTCACCTGAGGGTCCAGCCAGCCTGTCCCCTCACTAGCAGACTGTCCACACAAAGAAGGAAATACTGACTACAATAGGATGCTACTTAGGGCCCTCAAGAAAAGTGAATTTCATAATATACAATGCATGATTTCTTGGCAAGCCCCCTCAGTGACTTCCTGTAACCAATCTCACAATGGTTACAGAAGAGGCCAGCAATTCTGAAAGAGAAGAAGGGAGAAGGCAGAAGGTGAAGGCCCAGAGTAGAGGAACACCACCACCATGCCAAAAGACAATATGCAACAAGCATGATGAGTCTGAGGGGACCCCTTATTCAGAACCCAAGACCAATTTCCAGGTGGACTACCGAAAATAAAGCCTCAAGCCCAAGCATCAGCCTAGCACAAAAAAAGGACACTCAGAGCAACGAGATGAAGATAACCCACTGGACAGAAGAAATAAAAACAAAAATTCCCAGAGGGATGCCAATAAACCAACAGGGAGAAGATAAAGAAAAGGACCCAAAACCCAGAGCCCCAGTAATCGGCCTCCAGATTCAAGGGCCAGAAATCCCCAGCAGGACAATCACAGATAATGGGCCAAGGCCTAGAAGCAGATGCCCAAGGCCCTAGCCAGAAAAAAACAACAAACACCTCAGAAGACCAAGAAGGAACTCTCAGTTTCGGGTTGATCTCTTATCCCTAAGCTCCCATTGGCTGGAGCCAGATTTTGATCCTGTCTCCTAGTAGGTAAGGAAGTGTTTCAGAGGCCTGATGCATCGACCTAAAGCTCGACTAGATCAGCACTTAAGTTACAGGAAGCTACTGAGAGGGGCCCTCCCAGAAAAAGACTTTAAACAATATAGAAGCTGAAAGAAACACTCCAGGAGGACCAAGCAACTACTGACAAGAGACACTCCATCAGGCAGGCAGTTCCAGCATAGCTTCTGATGACATCCTTTAGCCACAAGTGGTTCTGCAAATCTAAGACACAAATTCTGGTGAAGTACTTTGTTTTTTAGAGAAATTCGTCAGTATGTAATAAGAGCTTGTAACAGTTCATTGATATAAATATGTAAACTTCTGAATATGTGAAGTTAATGATATGTGGTCTGGTAGTTGCAAACTATTTTATTTACTATTTAAATTATTTACCAATACATTCTCATTATAGATCTCTACCATTTAAACCTCTCATAACTCGTAAAAATCCAGATACAATGTAATAGCTTTTTTTATCTTTCCATAAATTCTCTTATCTTGTAGCTTTATGTAAATAAACCTTTATTAGCTACATCTTTTACTCTCCCAGCCCATTTCTTAGATCCATGTTACTTGAAACACAAATGTTGATGCAACTCACCTGGGCTGGACGGCAGAGCGACGGTCTCGCTTCATGCAGGTCGGCGTTCAATTCCCGACCGTCCAAGTGGTTGGGCACCATTCCTTTCCCCGTCTCATCCCAAATCCTTATCCTGACCCCTAATTCCCAGTGCTATATAGTCATAATGGCTTAGCACTTTCCCCTGATAGTTCCCTTCCTCTTCATGTCTGAATACAAATGATTATGAAATTTAGGCACAAGTACCTGTCTGAATATTTCTTTCTGGATGTTTGCACTTTAGACCTATATTTAGTAATCTTTATTTCTTTATAAGGATATCTAGACAAGGATTATGAACACAGTTTTAACAATAACAGTGGGTTTCTTGTTGATGGTACAAGATAGGGAGGATATTGGCATCAATATCTGTGGCCAGTAAGGTCGAAACTGTAAGCTGATGTCGTCAGTAAATGATCAAGTTGACAAGTATCCCATAAAAGGACAAAGAGTTAAGAGCAGTATTGACAGAATTGGAACCGGAGAGTGAATAATGCAACCCAGTGCAGACTCTACTTATTATCGTCTCGGGTTGGCATAGTGCAGAAGAGAGACGCCTGGTTAGAGGCCTGATAATGAGTAGCATGGTTAGAGGCCTGATAATGAGTGGCATGATTAGTGGCCTGAGAATGAGTGGCATGGTTAGAGGCATGAGAATCAGTGGTATGGTTAGATGCCTGCGCATGAGAATGAGTGGCATGGTAATCATAGAGTCCATCAAAACTTAAGTCACTGGTCGGTTTCCGAAGCATGTACATAAATATAATACAGTAGATGGTAAAAGGTCTAGATGCTTAAGTTTTTCTTTAGAGCCTTGAAAATAAATACTTTATGTCTTAAAACAAGAATTGATTATTCTAATTTATAATTGCTACAAGATTTTAAACAAGTCAACTAATTATTTCCAGTTTATATAACAATTTATATTGTCCCTCTTACAGTCGTGCATATCCTTGTTAAATGTCCTGACTTCCAGGACGAGCATGTGTCTTGCTCTCCGACCGTCCCTCGCGGTCACTTGTCCCTCGATAAAATTCTTGGTGAATCAGATACCTTTGATGTCGTTCGCCTTATGCGTTTCTGTTCTCGTATTGGCATCCTTGGTGATATTTAGCGCCCTCTGATTATTCTGCACATTTGATGGTGCTACATAGCCTTTCCGGTTTGGTGCCTTCTTTTGATAATTACTTATTCATTGTAAATGCGATATGACCCCTGAGTACAATTTCGAAATAACTGTTATTTCTATGAAACTATGTTATTTCTTATCTATACCGTTACTTCAAAGAAGATTACAAATAATAACAGTGCCTTGTGAGGAATTAGCTATGCACCTTACTCAATCTGAATTTTATTTTATTTACTGTCACACTGTAATCAGTTTGCTAGTTTATTGTAAATCCAACTCCCTACTTTACCTGTTATTCCCTTATCCTTCATTTTATGAGCTATCACTTCTGGACCTTTATTAAATGATTTTGCAAAATCTGTAATTATAACATCTACATTTTGGTTTACTTTTAATGCTTCTTATGATTTTCATCACGATGAATTATTAATAAAAGAAAATATCTTGTTCTAAAGACATATTGATCTGAATTATATTTCATTCTTTTCCATAAAAGTTTTAATTTGGCTTCATGGCAATCTCTAAACATTTTTAATGACATGTGATGTCAGTTCAACTAGTTAAAATTTTCCCAGCTCCTTTCTTTATGAAGTGGAGATATCAACTGAGTATCACCTGTAGTACTGTGGCAGTCCTGCTGAGTTGAGGTTCTGAAGTCTCTCTACAAAGTAAACTATTGTCACCCATTCCATATTCCAGGTGAGGAGAGGAAGGGGTGGGATATACATCATCTGGCTCCTACCTGAAGGCCAAAATAGAGACCCTAAATTACACTTGACTGCCTGTTAGCCTTCGACTTGAAGGGGGATTCATAAGCCACACATAACTGCCCTCTGGATTATCAGCTTGCACAAGCCTCAAGCCCTGTAACGACTAGATAGTATTCATGGGAGGTGGGGTTGGTAAGGGGACATTGTCAAGATAGATAATTAATAATTATCTATCATTATTATTATTATTATTAGAGTATGTACTATTAATAGATTGGCGCAGATTAAACGCTTGCATGCAGTTGTAAATATAAAAGCTTATTACAGTAACTTTGCATTAACCACAACAAAAAAATAATATTCCAATGTACTTAATAAAAGAAGGTTAACTGCAACTATTTATTAAGTTCTTGTTAGGATGGAGTTAACATACAATAAAGAACACACACTCAGCTCACCACAGAAATGTTATTTATACGCTTCTTCTTCCGTGAAAGAAACTCTCGCTCCTCGTGTGCCTGTTGTGTCAGACACATTAATTCTTTGTACGTTGGATGTGCTGTTCCATGGCTTATTCGAATTATGGGCTCTGCTTCTCTGAAGTAGCGTATTGCATCCTCTAATTTTTGCTCGTGGTTACAAATCTTGCCCAATTTCAGAAGGATAAGACCAATGTTTGGATGATTTTCTCCATAATAAAATCTGGAATTTATGTCAAATGTTAATTACTATATTTTCACGAGTTCCAAGCAGAGTTAGACTTTTAAATGTTAGCAGAACTAGCTAAATGGTTAAGAAAGTAATGTATAATATAAACATCTACTCAGTCTCACACTTAGTATAATAATGTTTTAGATATATGGAATTTGTAAAAGAAGAAAAGCCTAAACATACATCAAATTACCATGCTCACAATAAATTCCAACATTTAAATATAATACTATTATACTATAATTGGGAAAGAGGATTATATGTAAATATACAGTTGAAAATGCTGTATTGAAATGCTTCTTTCCGAGTTAACTGTTGGGTGCTCCTCAAACCATGTATAGTAACCGTATGGTCTACCCAGACCACAAAACACACTAGGTTCTGTCCCTCACTGTGATTGAGACTTTTGGTAATGGCCCTGCTACATAAATTGAGGAAGGGACACTTGAGAATTCTTTATCCACCACCAAACAAACACTAATCATGTTTGCCCTAGCCTGTAAGGTTACTCTGAGTTGTTCACAATATGAGCCTATTTTTCTGTTAATTGCATCAAATTCACCCCTCTTCACTCTCAAAATCACTTTTTCTTCCCCTAGTTCCTTGATTTGTGCCTCCTGTCTCATTACCCTGTCAAGCTGGTAATTTCCTTACCTTTCTGGAAAATACTTACGTTTAAATTACAAAACTCATCCTTGAGACCTTCGAGTGAAGGAGGGAGCTTGAGAGTGTGTGCATGCATCAATGTATGCATGTGTGGATGCATTAATGTATGCATGCATCAATGCGTGCATGCATGCAATGCAACAAGACGAGACAGATGAATTTAATTGAATTGAATAAATGAATGGAATGAATGAATGTATTTAGTTTAATGCTTGCAACAACTTACTTCACACCCTCAATATTTTTAATGCCATACTCCAGTGCAGAACTCCAATTTTCAACACCAATTGCAGCTTCAAAAGCAGCATCCTGTAGCTTAACACATAGTAAATTCAGCTTGTAAAATAGATTTCCTTGCATCTCTAATGCTCTTCTACATACATCAAGATCTATTTTATGGTTAAGGTACAATTCTACATTTACTAATATATAAAATAATTACATCTTGATAAAATTAATTCACATACAGTATCTCTGATCAAAGAGAAGTATATAACTTGACAATTTGGGTTATGAATGCCGCCACCATTCCATTTCCTACCTTGATGGAGGTTATGGAACATGTGATACACATTGAGAAGATAGAAAAATGGATTTTCTGCAACCTAATATACACATTAGGTTGCGGGTGTGCTAATTGGTGCTTGCTCACGGGTAACGTTTGGTCGACTTAAGGCATTTGGACCTTATATGCATACATCTCTAGGGAATTCTATTGCGAACACATTGATACCAAGAGGAACGACATAGCACGAGAATTAAGGTGAGAAAACTGAAATGAGTATACACATTTTACTGCTTTTGCACGCTCACGGGTAACGGCCGGTCGGCCGAGCGGACAGCACACTGGACTTGTGATCCTGTGGTCCTGGGTTCGATCCCAGGCGCCGGCGAGAAGCAATGGGCAAATTTTCTTTCACCCTATGCCCCTGTTACCTAGCAGTAAAATAGGAACCTGGGTGTTAGTCAGCTGTCACGGGCTGCTTCCTGGGGGTGGAGGCCTGGTCGAGGACCGGGCCGCGGGGACACTAAAAGCCCCGAAATCATCTCAAGATAACGTTCGGCCGACTTTCGGCTTTGCTGTGGAGGGTCATGCCAGGCTTTTGGACCTTATATGCATATACCCCCATAGGGAATTCTATTGTGAACACAATGATACCAAAAGGAATGACATAGCATGAGAATTAAGGTGAAAAAACTGAAATAAGTATACACATTTCAGTGTTGCTGCACGCTCGCCCTAAATGTCGGTAGCATTTTGGGAAGGCTGCGGCGCTCATGCGCTGTGTGCGAAAGTGTTAAAGCCAATATCTTGAAGGAAGCTGCATCGAACACCTTTGAAAAATCCATGTACAGCACAAGAGAAAGTATTTGAAATTAATATTGGAACAAATTAAATTCTATGGTAATGAGGAAAGAAAGGAAGACTAGATTACACACACTTATGAGGCAATGATAAATGAAAACATATTTTTGTATCAGTACTGTTAGGAATACAGTATATTAATGCTTGATGGGGGTTCTGGGAGTTGTTCTTCTCCCCAAGCCCGGCCTAAGGCCAGGCTTGACTTGAGAGAGCTTGGTCCACCAGGCTGTTGCTTGGAGTGGCCTGCAGGCCCACATATCCACACCACACTGCTGTGTAATAACACTACAGTAGCTTTATGTAGTGCTTGTAAGTATACAGGATTCCATATTATTCTATATATAACCCTATTTTTCTATAGTACTTTTATGCTTATTCTTAGCATATAGGGAATACAGGGTATTAGTTGTCATTATGATGGAAATAACCACCTATAAAGAAATAATACATTATCATCATAATCATCACTACTACCCTATTTTCCCTATATGCCAGGAATAACCACAAAACGAAGACACAGGGACTAAAGAAATGTTCTCATTAATAAATAATAATTTGATGAATTTATTGGATATTAGAATAATGTGTGCATCCCACAAAGTGAGTTTCTTTTTAAGTTTAACTAGGGTGAGGCTAATATATTATTTCTGGAGGAGCTTTTTGATGGCTTCCTGAAGCTATTCCACTGAGATTGCTCCTATCTAGTAGGTCACATCAGCTGCAGAAGTTTGGCCTACAGGAGACCAGAGCCCTAGTAGTCTAGAACTTCAAACCTTAGTAGTTTCCCAGCAGGCTATGCCATGGCTCATTTTTATCTCTACCTAAAATCCACATTCGCCACGTATGAGTTTGTAGGGTGCTCGTCAGTCCTGCTACAGGCCAACAGTCATTCTCTGCCTCTGCCTAGCTGCCTGTAGGGTCTATGCCACCTTCAGCCTGGATTCCTGCCCTTTGTACACGTTCAGTTTCCATTCTTTTTCAGCTGCTCTCTTTTTGAGGCTTACGAGGCAGCTGCCACTTTATGGGTCTAGCATACCTGGAGAGGATTTGGGAGTTCTTCTACTCTCCGGGCTCGGCCTGGGGCCAAGGCTCGATGAGGGTAAGGGTCTGGCTTTCCCATTTTCGGGTCATCAGCGTGGTGATCATTTGGATGCCCCAGAGAAGACCCCATTGTGTGGGAGTGGTTCACTTTGTATTTGGTCTGACCCTATCTCTAGTGTATCTGCAGGTTTTGAAGTCCGGGTGGGTATTTTCTCACTGAGAGTGTAGCTTTGTCAGCTCCAGGGGGAAGGGGGGTCACGGGGAGGTGGGAGGTGTTGGCCCCATGGATTTGACAACGGAGGCAGTTGAGCCGCCTTTTCCCACCGGAGGTGTGGGTGCTTCCCAAGTGCTTATTTCCTCCTTTCCCTCTCCATAGGATGTCACCTTCTATCCTTAGCATTAAGCATGGTAAAATGGCTCTGCCCCTGGGTTGTCATGGCTGGCTTCTGGAATTGAGATGAGCCCATGGGTGCTTTGTGCTCTTTTCCAAGCTGTTCTTCTTGAAGTTTTTTTTATCTTCTGGGACCTGCTTTTTCTTATTCACCGTTGTGTTGTGCATTTCTTTACTCAGTAGCCCTCCTCCATTGATTGGTTCTGTGTACCATTCGACATTTCAACCTTGCTTATGGGGTTGCCCCAACCTCTTGCCCCACAGCACTACATCAGTGCCCTTTCTGGCCTGTTTCAGTACCTCACATGAGATTTGAACCTCTTTTTCTGTGTTGACTGCATCATGTGGTCCCTGCTTTGTCCTGGCTGGCTGACATGCCCTTTTTTCTTGATGGTTTGACTTTGGTTGTGGTTTACATAGAGGGTTACTTTCATCACCATTGTTAAACTTATATTGCTGGTCACTTTGTGAGACACATTCTCATATCCAATAAAAGTATAAAATAATTACTTATTATTGATAATGTTTCTTTAAGCCTTGTAACTATTTTGTAACTTTTGCATTTCTACATACACTTTACTAAAAAGCATATTTTACGAAAAGGATACAATATTTATCTTTCATTGTTTCCAATTGCTCTCGACAATGATTGGCAATGCTGCAATACTTCCTTCTTGTTTCAGTGCTCAAGTTGTTATAGCCACACTCGGTGCATGCACCAATTGGTGCATCAATATCATCATCCTCATCAATGAGTACAGGGGCTGTGCAAGAAGCATTTCCTGAAAAAGACAAAGAAAAAGGGTAAATACTGTAATTACTAGTATATCAATACATGCACCAACCTGCTTCTACTTAGATCAACATTGAGAGGACTCAAGAAACAGGTTATGGTTTTGAAGAGGTAAAAGCCCACAGCCCTCCCAAAATATCTGAATGAAGAATGAAAACACAGCATCAAAAATACAAATAAAATTAAAACACTCAAAAATTATTTAATGCACTGTTACACATATATATGATCTTGAAGTGATATCAAGGTCTTATTGCTTGGGTTACTTTGGTGGATCATGGTGAATTTGTGGTTTCTAATGAGGTGTTTCATATGCTAAAGTTCCATCAGTTGACTCCCTCTTCCCACATACTTAAATTTTAATACCCTATAATTTTGTCATGTTCTAAAGGCATGTGGACCCATGTTGCATAGTTCATTCTTTTTCATAGAATTGGTAAGCTGTCTTCTATGCAACCTTTCCAAAACCTTGATGATGTGGAATGTTAGGGTAACTGTTTTGTAATTTTTTGCTAATGTTTTACAACCTTCCTTGTGTAGTGGGGGCCTTTTCTATAGTTCCAGAGTTTTTCTCTATATTATACTGAGTGCCCATCACGGTCATATTTTGCACTTCCATCTGAGCCGTGAGCTGAGTGCATATTGTGTATTCCCGTTTCAAAGTTTGCGGAGTTTGTTGTATTAACAATATCAGATACAGTATATGCATTTGGACGTTTGCCAAGGTCATGAAAAAGTAATCAGTATCTTCTACTTTCATTGTGCCGATTATACTGCTAAATATGAATTTCAATTGTGTTTTTATTACTTTGCTTATACAACTGCATCTTAAATTTCATTGGTGTACATACAGTTCAACCTTTTTTAAATAAGAAGACAGCCAGGTTCTGATCATTATTCCAAGAAGGTCATCATGCATCTCAGAAACTTGGTACAATTTCTAAGGCTTGGCTATGGAGTACCAACATGTAAGCTCCAAGGAGCTACTAAAAGGGCCTTCCCAGAAAAGACTTAAAATTCAAACAAAAATGAACTATAGCAAAGGAAATAAATCTTGGCACTAACCACAATTGATAGATGACATCAGTCTGTCTCGCTCAGGATCATGACAAAATTTACAGTCACACCAGAAATAGTATCGTCTGTGCAATTCATTCTTGCGGTCCATAGTAGAATTCATGACATCAATATAACTTATTCTAATCTGAAAAAGAAAAGACAAGCGTTAATTGTGTACACACACATTATGTGTATGTGGATACATACCAGACTGGCTAAACCAAACTACCCAATGAATAACATGAGAGAGCCTGGCCTTGGTACAGGGCACCAAGGAAACAGGAGTGACAAAGAGAGAGCTACAACTCAGGAAGCATAAGTAGCACACAAATAATATTGCACAGTAGTAACAGGACAGAAGGCATGTTGCATCCCGAGCTAGTCAAATGAAGTATCCATCACCAAAGGACTCCAACAAAAAGCAGAGAACGCGTTTCTTTTCAAAAAACACAAAGAAAAAACATGAAATAAAGTAAATAAATGAGTTTTGCTTAAAACTCATAACAAAAGATGGCTTATGATGGATTAACATTTACCTAAATGTGCTTCTTGGTTACAGTATTATAAAGATATTTCACTACACTCCTGGCAAGGTAAACCACAAACCTATATAAACATAACAGATATAAGCAAATTGACTTTTTTTCAGGGAGGGGAGTGGGGGGTTGCCAAGGGTATGAAGGGTTGAACGAAATCCCTTGTCAATGAATCAGCCTCGCCTCCATATAGTTCGTTCAAGTGAGAACACATTGTATAAAGATGGACAGAGAAGTTCTATTACTTCCAACTAACCTTAGCAAAATCAAGACATGGCATGTCAACCAATGAGCGGCATGTAAGGCGCGTGCCCTCAAAAGTAACATAGGCATTTGGTTGACAGGAATGATCAAATACCGAAGCTGCCAGGTACACACCAGTCCCAACTGTGTTCAAGTCGGGGTCAGTAATACTGAAACTATTAACACAGATCTGAAATACATAATTTTATTATTTATCAGTCAATAAAAAAAGATATATGATTATAAAATAAAGTTAATAAAGATAATTAGCAGCATGGTAGTACTGTACATTCAAAACATTTAAACAAAAATTGATCTTTAAATAATGAAAACACGATGAAATACAGTACAGTACAGTATTTTGATTTTGAATATATTCTGACAAACTCAAGTTGTATAGATTTTACAGTAGGTCCATGAATTACAGTCAACCAGCCTATAAGTCAGAAGTTGGCTCCAAAATTTAAGCTCAGAGTGACTAGACTTATAACAGACCCTCTTATAAGTCAAGAGAATATTATAAATAGGTAAAAATCTTGCATGCATTAGAGCAATAGTTTAAATTGTCAAATATACTTGATTAACAAATGTCAAATAGAGACCATGTGAAGGTGTGGAAGGACACTGTAGCCTACCCTGCCATAGATGCCCTGAAGATCAACTTCATTGGGAAGATTTTCTGCTCCAATATACTTGCCCAGGACGACCACAAGAGAAGTCAGGTGCTCTTGACGCTTTTTATCAGTCTTTAAATCGGTGTAATCTGAACAAAAATTGAGAAGGCCAAAATAAAATATTACAAGAAATACTGGTCAAATGTCCCAATTACATATAAATTCTAATTTTCACATGATCTGCACCAAAGATTTGTACAGTACTGTATAGGAATATGAACTTTTATGAATAAAAGCAAGAGCTCTTACAATTCTTTTGTCCTTCTGTAACTGGCTCAGTATGCAAGTAAATAAAACTTACAACAGTGTACTCTCTCTTCACTAGTTCAATTAGAATTTTAAACCTAATGTAGGATAGAAATGCATGGCATAGAGAGACTTTTTATTTTGTTATATATATGTGTACAATACTGTACTATTCTCCTTTGAGAATGCTACAAGATATATATTCATAATACAGTAGAACCAGTGGTCATTACCAAACTAATCATTAACTAAAATGCAAAGTATAGTTCTTACGGTTCATTAGATCCTTAAATTTTCTTCTCGTCCTTTCCGTAACTTTCTCTTCTACCCTGTCACCCCCAGTCTGCATTAAAATAAAAAATTATCTGTATTTATCACCTATATTGTTGACTGTCTTTACTTTTCATTAAAATCAAGATACAGGAGGGAGAAAAACAAGAAAATTAAGGAACTGCAAATTTAATTATCCCAAAGAAAGAGAGAAAACAAAATAATATATATACAGTACTGCAATACTAATTGCACAACAAATGGGCAGTGCAATACAAGGGGAACACAACACAACCTTGATGGACCCACTGATAGATTTAATTCATCAGCAAGTAAGTTATTTAAGGGCAATCCTGAATAGTCATAATTGTATAACTGTATGGTTACCTGCAGAAACATTCATTGTCAAGGCAGCCATAAGAGATGGAATTGCATGACATACCCTGTATCATTAAAGTTTGTTTTAGGTATAATAAGAAGTTAAAATTTTACAGTGAACATATTGTTATTATTTGCTTAGGTAATATTAAAACTTAATTGAATTTATTAATGCTGGTAAAATAACAATTGAGTAATTACAAATGAACCTCCTAAAGATCAATCTGGCCTGGAATCAGAATGTTTCCACAACCTCCCTAGCAACAGTATGATCCAACAGGGACCCATGAAAAATCCCTATTGCATTGGCGCAGAATATTGGCCCTGCTCTTTCTTCCTTCTTTTTCTTCTTCTTTGCGATATATGCAGTTTGCATGAAGGATTTTTCCTCTTGATGACTGCATGAGTCCTTTCCAAATGGACTAAAAGGGGCTTTGCCTTAGGGAGCAGTCAAGTGTGTAACTTGAAAATGGCAAGTCTTGATATAATCTTAAGTACTGTAATAAGCAGTACACAATACACTAGATTCTGGGAAGATACATATGGATATAAAGGCAGCCCTCATTTTGTGTGGTAATTGCACTGAAAGAAATCTGTGTACAGCTCAACCCATACAAATCAAAATTCTGATTACAAATCAGTTTGTAACTGAGAATAGTACAATGAGCATAGTTATTGAGGACTTAAAGGCTGGCTCAGGGTGACTGCAGAAATTTAATAGTTTGCATGTCATAATGCTGTAAATGCATTTTTCTGCCTCTTATGTTATGAAGACCAGCCTGTGCTACAAAACTGTAATAGAGCAAATAGTTTATCATACATAATTATTTTTATACAGTAGTGAGAAAAACCGTAGGAGCTGTGATGAGGATTCGAACCAATGCGGAGGGTGTTCCCGCACACACACCCTAGTCAACTAGGCTGCGACATGGTCGTGGCCATAACGTGGCCTAGTTGACTAGGGCATGTGCATGGGAACACCCACCGCATAAGTTCAAATCCTCATCATGGTTCCTATGGAATTTCTCATTGATACATCAAGTTAGTGTGATTACTCTCTGTGTGCTGATTATTTATAGTTATGTAAAATCATTATTTATATATTATTTGTGCATGAAAATATGCATTAACATTTATAGCATCACTTCCTTCAAGAAAAATTCAGAAAATTTGTGGAATAATAGCCCAAAAAAGGTCAAATCTCTGGAAACCCAGATTTCATGGAAATCTAAGTCGGGTCCAGAACAACATAATCTGGATTATGCAGATGTGCCTGCAATCCAAACAGCTCATAAAACACAGAAAGTGCAGTGAGCTTATGAACCTGACAACCAATGATGAGGCTCATCCAATAATCTGCACCCAATCCAATGTAAATAAAAATAATCAACTATTTTCTAAACTTTGTATAAAATTAAATCACAATGTGCAGTTTCCAAATCCCATTGCACACAAAATACAGGCTGCCTATAATGGAATATTAATTACAAATTAGATAATCTTTGAGTTAAACCTTTGTTAAATTAAACATCAACAAAAGTTTAAGAGGAAATCTCTAAATATTTACGTGCAAGTGCTCTTCATAGGCCTGTCAATATTATTGTTATTATTATTTTGCAAAATACTGTAATGGTTCTACTTTTATAGTTACCTTAAGTCTAAATATAACCTTAGCAATAAGCTTTGCAGTATCCGGAGGAATAAGGGGATATATACGCTGAAGATTTTTACACTCAAATCGATGAATATCCCAGGAGCCCCTCTGACAGTCTTTGTTGCAATAACATTCTGCCTTACACCCAGAGCAGCGCTGTAGATTTTCCTGTTTCCTGAAGCAGATAACATAGCATTACGAAAATGTACAGAAGTACTGTAATAACATTGATAGAGAACAGTAGAGTATTTATGAGGAAATGTTTAGTATAAAGAAAAATAACAGTAGACTGCAGATGTCCTACTGGACTACGCGAGAAAGCTACTATCTGAACTCTATCAGGTTTTCCACCTACACTTAAAACCCACTGCCAAACTCTCATCTATTATGTCATACAACAACCTAGCCATAAACCAACAACTTTATTTCTATGCTGGAACCACATTTACCCAATTCTCTTTTTAATTTACACTTATTAAGTTTATGTACACAATACGTGTTTTATTGTATTATTATTTTTTAGCACACTATAAAGAGCCCAGTTCCTATAGTCTTTCACAATGTACAATGATGCTGTGAAACTACACGAGCCAACATTAAATTATAAGCCCAAGAGCACCATGTTGCATTACACAAGTTAACATTTAATAGTACAACATACAAAAGGATATGATAAATTTGAATTAAAACAATGATATAATTTGTTTTATATAAGCTAGGAAACACCTCACAAAGCATGAAGAGATTAGTGAATTAAGTTAAACTTCAAAGCAATATTGTACTTCAAAGGTCAAGTAATTATGAGGAGAAAGTGCTAAGCCAGAATGAATATTTAGAGAGCAATCATTTCATAAAAACTAGATAAAAAATGAACTTACAACCAAGGGACGTGGCACATGCATAGTATTTAGTCACCTTACATATTGAATGTCCCCCTAAAAATCAGTGTTGAATATAATGAAACGCCAATTTCTGGGTGTGCCGAAGTGGCTCCTTGAAGATATATACTGAGATAGTTCCCACCATCAGGATCACATAAACTGTTCAGTTCTACTGGAAACCAGAGCCAAAACCCTGGCCCCCTTTACAGATGTGCAGGGATCCGTGACATTTATTTTCACCACCTCACCGGGGAAGACAACCAGAAAGCCAGTGAGGCAAAACAAACTATTGCTGGATTCATGAGAGACCTGGTTACCTGGTTGATATTTGGTTGATGGGGATCTGGGAGTAGTTCTACTCCCCAAGCCCGGCCCGAGGCTAGGCTTAACTTGTGAGAGTTTGGTCCACCAGGCTGTTGCTTGCAGTGGCCGCAGGCCCACATATCCACCACAGCCTGGTTGGTCCGGCACTCCTTGGAGAAAATTACCTAGTTTTCTCTTGAAGATGTCAACGGTTGTTCCGGCAATATTTCTTATGCTCGCTGGGAGGATGTTGAACAACCGCGGACCTCTGATGTTTATACAGTGTTCTCTGATTGTGCCTATGGCACCCCTGCTCTTCACTAGTTCTATTCTGCATTTTCTTCCATATCGTTCCACTCCAGTATGCCTCAAGAGCCTTGAGCCTCAAGCCTCAAAATTGGCTGAAATTTCTCCTGCTATATAAACAAAATATTGAATTCTCTCAGAACTAGTGCGAGGTTGTTCACCTCACCTCCTTGACTTATTTGGGGTGAGGTGGGTAGCAGTTTATTGCCTGCTGGAATCTGAGCTCTCAGTTCTAGGGTAGATGTAGTTCTACCCAACATCCCAGAAGGGAGGGAGGGGATCAGGGAGCCACTGGGGCACACCCAGAAACTGGTGTTTCATTACATTTCATGCCAGTTTTCTGGGTAAGCCCCATGTGGCATCTTGACGCTAAATACGTCTGGAGAAGGAAAACACATGGAAACTCAAAAGGCAGCAACACAGGACTCAGGACAAAGACAAGACTCCCAGCCTAGAGAGCTGGAAAGCTCACAAGAACCACACAAGAGCACCAAGTCCCAGGAACATTCTCCAAATACTGGCATCTGGTGTTTGGTGAATGTTCCTGGGGCCTGGGTTAGGAAACCAAGCAAGCAGCACCTGAAACCAAGGCCGAGCTGGCCACCAAGAAAGATCACTCACCCCTGATAGGATGCCACTTAAAATAGGATGAATCTTAAAAAGTACATGCACGCTCCCTGTGCAACCCTCAAGGAAGAATATCCCAACTGCCACAAGCTTTAAAACCTCACAGAGGAGGCAAAGACCCATGCATTATTTGGGTGAGGCTCCTTCCTCAGGACTATGGCCTTTTAGGGACATCCACCTGAATTCATCAGGAAAGACAACCCTGGCTGGGCAGAGGAAACACCAGCAGACATCTAGGATTCATCACTTTAGGCACAAGCAGTTGGAGGTGAACAGTTAATCATAATCATACACTTCTTTTATAGAAAGTTAGTCAATACAAGAAGGGAGGAATAAATATACATACACATGAAGCAAAAGTACAGAATGAGTACACAAACAAATGACATGCACTGGACCCAGTCCAAAATGTCCAAAATGGCTAACAGTTATCTGAAAAACTGGGACTCGAAGAGTGCTGTACCTTGAATGAGGAGCATAACCACAATATATAACTACATCACACCAGGCAAAATGACCAAGGCTGTTTAACTGGGGATCGACACACACTAGACACATGGCCACCTGAGAGTACGCAGGTGTAATTAATAAGTGAACTGCTTCAGAAACAGGTGGTTCACTCTGTTTCCAGTCTCCTTTTCTATGCTTGTTTGCCTTGCTGAGTATCTGTTTTGACTTGCCTACCTTTCTGTGGCCTGTTCTTAATTAGGGTGATCTAGTGTCTCTTGCTCTTTGCAGGAGATGCTATATACAATCCCTTTGGTAAGCTTACAATGACTCGCAAGGACCTGGTGTGGATTAAATTGCGTGGAGCTATCCAGGTAGCTAGTAACAAGGAGCTGCCAAGGAGCCCTCTCAGTAATTCCTGTTACATGTGTCATAAATAAGTTGAAAAGAATACTTCCCCAGTGTTCCCAAGGTAAAATCACTGAACTCCCCAAATACCCACCAACATGTTATTTCCTTTCACAATCTTGCAATAACAAAATGAAGAAACATATAGCAAACAATTAACAGGACATTTCTAATCCAGAATTAGTTGTATAAAAAATAAGGGAACTCAAACTAAGTCATCTACTAGGGGCTAAAAACATCAACATATAAAAAAAAGAAATGACAGTATGCAGAATAAAGTAGCATAAGAAACACATTCGATTAGAAAGTACAGGTGATTAGAGAATTGTTAGACCTAATTAAACTCAAGCATTCCACCTTTCTACAAGTCATATTTAAGACCAAAACCATCAGTAGATCTATACACTGCCATTTATACCCCTATTAGCTATTCTCTTTGAGCACCATTCACACCCCTAATTATCATGAAACATTTCCTCGAACATACTTTTTTAAGCAGTAATCACAATAGAGCCCTTTGAGAGATCCACTCAAAACATGCACAAAAGGTGTTGCAGTAAGAAGAATATTTCCTTTGGCCACCTTCTGCTGATCCATTACCTGCAAAATTAAATAAATTCTGTACATACAAATTAAGTGCAACAAGAAACAAGGAATACATAACTGAAGCTATCACTCCAAGAAGGATTAGCATAGCTATATTAATTTTAATCATAATCACAAGTATAAACTGGCCTTTCTATTACTTGACTCTTCTAGCATGAACTGCATACCAGTTGAAAGGGAATAAAAAGCAACTTCCATAAAAGATTTTGAATATTTCCAGGAAAACTTATGCTGAATTCAGCTGTATTAATTATACAATTACTAGAAAAATCAAGCACTGAATTAATTGTAGTAAAATTACTATTTTAATGGACCCCAGATAGCTCTACAACATTAGCTTTGCTTTTCTCTAATACCATAAAGTCTTAGCAAAATACACCGAACCTTCAATACCCATCACTTATCGGGAGCTAGGACCAGAATCTGCCTCACTGTACGAGACAAGAGGAACTTAGGGATCAGAAATTGACTAACTATTTGACTGCATAGGTGGTTGCAGAGTGAGGAAATAGACTGGCTGGCTGAGGACCCAGGTGACCTGGACTGCCATCTGGTGGAGGTGGTCAGGCTCCTCACAGTTAGGGAATCAACTCCACAGCAATGATCATTTGCCTTATTTTTCAAGGGTGTCTAATTTTTTCCCCAGCAGTCACTTGTTTTGGTACACCAAAACATCTAGTGAGTTTTTCCGAGTTTTGGGTAGATTTTTTATCCCTAATCTCCCCATGTATCAGAATCAGCCAGACTGATCTTGGCTTCTGATAGGCAATGGATGGATTTCCCAGGCCTGGTGTGTTTAGCTAAGGCTTGGAGGTACCAGAGCTAAGCCAAGCTCTGGGATTTACGAAGGGGTCCTCCACAGAAACAATAATACAGTAAAGCTATTTTCAGATAACAAAATGTTACACAAAAGTATTACATGGTATTTAATCACAGTACAGAATAAGATGGTTATACAGGAACAATATTATACAGAAAAAAAACATTGTTATGAATCCCATACAAAACAACATGCATTTAAGACATACCACTCGTTACACTGAAATGTGCTGAATGCAGGAGTAGTAAGATCTATTTTCTTGAGCCTAATTTATATGAAGCCTACAAAAAAATAAATTAGCTTACCTTATGTAAAAATAAAAAAATATATATCTACAAAATGTATACTGGAAGTGAGCCTCTACACATTTGTCAGGAATTAAGGTAAGGTCAGGCTAAATATATAGGGTAAAGATACCTGGTGTCATCCACTTGTGAAAAAACCTCCTACAAAGTAGTTAAGGCAACAGCTAACAACCCATTGGTTCTAGTATTGATTCCTGGGATAGGACAAGAATTGTATATATTTTGTATTACTGTATTAATGACAGTAAACATTAATTTATTGTACTCCAGTGTTCATCCTGCAAGTGGTAATGCAAAAGGATTATATACACAGGGCACAAAAGGTGCCAGCCCGAAACACTGTGCGTACTAGTGGCTTTACAAGAATGTAATTACTATGCTATGTATCCTCACAATCCCAATGTACCTTCTTGTATATAAATAAATAAATAAATAAATAAATAAATAAATAAATAAATAAATAAATAAACAAAGGTGCAAACAAGATTGCAGTGGGTGTTTAATATTAATTGTTAAAATTTCAATATACATATTATATTTCATCATAATGACCATGCTGGTAACAGAACCATTGTCTTCACAACAATTTTACTTCATAAAATTGTATTATTACACACTGGATATAAGGTAATACAATTACTGTATTGCAATTTACATGTGGCGTAACAATTGGCTTTGAGTTTTGACAAGGGGTAGAAATAGCCTAAGCTACTCTATTCCTTTGAGATGTATTTCTTTTTTATCTCAATAAACATACTTGAACTTGAACTTCAACAACTTATAGTTTTCTTTCAAAAGCTACATATAATTTATTTTGTGGAAGCAAATTGTAGATATAATACAACCATTTAAAGTATATGGGGGAGCCGGTCGGCCGAGCAGACAGCACACTGGACTTGTGGTCCTGGGTTCGATCCCAGGTGCCGGCGAGAAACAATGGGCAGAGTTTCTTTCACCCTATGCCCCTGTTACCTAGCAGTAAAATAGGTACCTGAGTGTTAGTCAGCTGTCATGGGCTGCTTCCTGGGGGTGGAGGCCTGGTCGAGGACCGGGCCGGGGGACACTAAAACCCCGAAATCATCTCAAGATAACCTCAAGATAAGATATAATCATTAACAAAGTGATTGACTTTACTAAGTGTTCAGAGACCAGCAACTTTACCCTATCTTTGATTTTCATGAATGCGACAAAAACACAACACAGTTTACACGTGTCAAATCCTAACAGAATTTTGTTAGGAATTACTTATGCTATTTATTCTACTGGCTAGGCTAAAAATACAGCAAACCTGGGCCCATATGTTATATTTTATCTAGAAGGGAATGAAGGTAACATTTTATTTATATAAAAAAATTAACTTTGATTAGATGCAAGGCATAAGATGAGAACCCTGATATTTTAAAGTTTTGTGTAAAAATAATATTTATTATCTTTTTCGTCTAAAATAAAAAATATTCAAAGTGGTAGATTACCCAAAATAACTATAATGAGAGAATATGAGCCACTCACTCTAAATATTTCCTCTGGATATGTTGCCAAAATTTGAAATACTGTTTGGAGTCACTACACTAAATTTAACTCATCTGAATACTCTGTACTTGCCAACACTTACTAACTCCATAAAACATTACATTTAACTCTTAACAAAATTGCAAATTCCACTTATTGAATTTATTATCACTTAAACTGACGAAATGTGTGTATGTGTGAAGTCCCTAAACAGACCTTCCTGGCCGGGTATGTGGCGAGCTGCCTCATCTTGTGTCCCTCACAGTGCCTCACTCACCACTGATGCCATGCCACGAGCCACACGCCCAGCCCAGTGCCACAGACAATGCCAGACACAGTGCCAGAACCTCTCCCACCGCCTCGCAGCATCAGGTGGTCCAGATCACAGCTGAGGATAAACTCAATCACATTCACGACACATTGGCGGGTTGATGTCGCTTTTTTTTTGGTAGTTATAGTAACAAAAACGCTTATTATTATTATTATTATTGATGTTAGGTGCCGTTTGCATGAAGGGTTTATTCTCCCAATGATTGCTGATCCTCTGCTTGGCACAATGTTGTTGGCACAACGTGGCTAATATATTTACTCTCCTCCCCTCCCCCTCCTCTTCCCATCTATAAATAAATAAATAAATGTTTATTTAGGTAAGGTACATACATACAAGAATTTTTTACAAAGATTGGTTGACTTATAGGTAGAGCTAGTACATACAATGCCTAAAGCCACTATTACGCAAAGCGTTTCGGGCATTAAGAGATCTCTCTCTTTACTTCTTTAAATTTGTAATCAGACATCGCTACGTAATTTAACGTGAAAATATCCATTAATTTAGACAACTATCTGTTATATTCAAGAAATTTACAAATTTGAAAATTTGTGAAATTTGAAATTTATAAATCTCCCTGCAATACCTTCAGTCTTACCTTACTGACAGCCTATTTCATTTCTCCTACCCTACCCATAAACATTCGTGTTCCACAGGGCAGCATACTTGGACCTCTCTTTTTTTTCATCAACATTAATGACCTTCCAAATGCCTCTCAACACCTCAAACCAATCTTATTTGCTGATGACACAACCTTCATTTTCTCCAGTCCTGAGACTCCTGACCCTCTTGCTCTAAATGTCATAGTGAATAATGAACTAAATAAAGTCCATCTTTGGCTAACTGCTAAAAAACTCACCCTTAACATTGACAAAACTTTCTATATTTTGTTTGATAATAAATCCGCAACTTAAATTAATCTAAGAATTAACAATATCCAAATTAGTAACAAAGTTGATGGTAAATTCCTTGGTGTCCTCATCGATAACAAGCTGAATTTCCAGGGACACATTCTAAATACTGTATAGCAAATACTGTATTTTTCCTCCACTGGAACAATCTGGGTACAGCATAAGAATATATTCCAATATTCCTGAGTGTATGACGTAATTACAGACCTCAAAGTACCTCATACCATTTGGTCTGAAGTCACTTATAACGAAAGGAAGGGAACTATCAGGAGAAAGTGCCAAGCCATTACGACTATTACTGAGCCACTTGGAAAGGGTCAGGATAAGGATTTGGGATGGGACGGAGGAAAGGAATGGTACCCAACCACTTGGATGGTCGGGGATTGAACGCAGACTTGCATGAAGTAAGACCGTCGCTCTACCGTCCAGCCCGTGGTTGGCTCACCAATTCAATTTGTATTCAATTCAATTCAATGACGAGCCCCATTGCATGCCAAGATCATTTCTTGAAGAATGCTTTGTTGACTACCTCTGTTCTAACCCCAACGCAATAAATACTTCACCCACGTAGTTAAACTGTAAATAATCGCCAACAGAGCCTAAACACCTAACTATACATAAAAATTATATAATACCCAGTACTATTAACCTATATATGAATTTTTGCTACTGCACAGTATGTTAAAACTGATGAATGAGTTTGGGGACGGGTTGTGTATTTGCAACCCGTCCCCATCAATTGCCCTTGGCCTTGCCAGCACTGCCTATATAATAGGTGTCCGTGTGCCATTCGACCTGGAACACCTGCTAAATGATGACCAATATATAGTCGACGCCCTGATGAACTTCCTCACTGAGATCCATCCTAATTCTCGGTGATATGATTTAGGCAGGTCGTACCTGTACATATTAGTATGAATAGAGAATACCCTTTTTTCGCAAAAAGGGGATAAGTTGGGATAATAAAGCTCTACATTTGCTTATACACTTTCAACATAACTCATGTAGTATACCTTGCTTTGATGATTCCCACTTCCTCTGACGATCGCCTTGTGTATGTTAGTTACCTACAGTGACTTTTTTTTCTGCTCTTACATTTCGGTAAACACAAGCTTACTCTTCCTTAACTTTTAGATTCATTATTTAAAATATCATTATGTCGAAATCCAGAAGGGCGCCTTGCCCTTCGACCTCCCATATGTTGCTGCCAGTAAAGCCCAACAATTAAGGCAGGCAGCTGCAGGCTCCAGAAATGTGGTTTTAAACGTGTAAGCTACACGTTTATACTTGAATCAGTAAGGATTCATATACCTTTTATTTATAAATTATCCTCTAAAATTAAATGTAAGTGTAACCAGAAATATCCTGGTTGATATACCAATACTCCACGTCAAATTTATTTACATCCATCCCAGCTTGTTAGCATGATAATATTTAATGTTCACTTGCACACAAGCACACATAACTCATCTGTTTAGGTTTTAATGTTCCTATTTTTGTAGTGCACATTAAGAGAGTCGTTACTTTGATGCCTGTGGGTTATTTTCAGCCACAGCTCTTTCATTAATTCTACTGAGGAAGGTCAGTTTTAATCAATGTAAACCTCTCCAACCACAGATTCTAACGAGTTGACAAAAGCAACAGTTACTCCCAGCACTAGTTAAGTCAACCCTATCTTGTACATACATTCTTTCTATAGAAGTGTTCCCAGTTATCAATTTACTCGATTTGTCTAGTCGGCATTTTTTCACAAATGTGAAAAATTCCCAGAAACATATAACATGCTCAGAAATGTATAAACATGTTGATACGACGAGCAGGCTTTACTATATTCAGCTCACCTCCCTCACTCCGTTTGTCATAGACGGCCGTGGGTTTCCAACTTTCGTTCTTAAAAGAATACCACATACGATAGGGATCCTTTCCCTTCTGGCTAATTCAGTGGTTGTATTAAGCTTGTGTATTAGTACGTCGTTCCTAACTCTTCCTATATCATTTCCTCCAGCGCTAATACAAATAACGGGTTTATTAACAAAAAACTTAAATCCAATTTATAATAATATACTGTAAATTCATAAATGCTGCAGTGCAAAAATGTTCCTTACTTGCCGTCATTATAATTATAATTGTGTGTGTAGATTAGGTGAAATTGTAAATCTGCATCTAAGGTGGTCCACAATGCAGCTCTAGATGTCCGATTTTTTTTATTTTGCCCGAAACGCTTTGGCTTTATAGATCGTGTAACTGCTCTTCTTGCAATTTGTACACACATTCTGTTGAATAAACATTGTCATTGTTGTTGTCATGTCCTGCAGCAAAGATTTTCGCGTATAGCAAGAGGCTGTATGACACGACGCATGGATGACATTTAACAGGGGAATTAGTTCAGTAGCAATTGCAGGTTCTTGAATTTGTTAAGATATCTCCAATACAGTATATAGCTTTATTTATACAGAATAAACTGTTTAAATATAAAAAAAATTGGGAAATGGTTCACGCATCATATCTGAAGAATAAGCTTGGTAGCTGGTGCTGCCTCGCAGTGTTAGACAAGTATTGGGGGTTTAACAGCATAATGACACAAGTTATTGGAGATGCTGCTTTAAGTCAAACAAGTCGTTTGAGCTGGCTTGTTTGTGTAGGGTTGAGAGACTGTGGTCAGATATACACGGAGATGAGAAGCTCTTGGTCACTGGAGGCTGGAGACAGCATGGGGAAGTAGCAGCTTGCTGTGACCACTATGTACGTGAGAAGACAATGTCATGTCTACTGGAAAAAAATACAAATTAAATAATCACTTATTTTATCATGACTGATCGTGTTTGCTTATACAGGTGAACCAAATCAACAATACATGTAATTTGTGATTGGACACACGAATAAAATAAATGAAAAAGTGTAACATTTTATATAAATCACAAGATTTTCGTTAGTTTCTAATGTGCGATTTGTAGCTGAGAGCCAAATTAATAAAAGTACCATGTCTAAGTTTAACGTTCCAGTTTTGACAGTGCCATGAATTTGCAGATATCACAAAAGTCACTTAAAGCGGGTAAGATCGATTTACATATTTATATATTTGGTTTAGTGTTGGCCTTAAGGCTTATGAATATCTGCATGGAGTATTATTAAAGCCCCTTACAAGAGCTTCCTTATCAATCAACAAGTGTATTTTAGTCTTTTCATGACTTAAGTAAACTCCAAAAACATTGAGAAGTGCGGTTCAAGTTCAAGTTCAAGTATGTTTATTGAGACAAGAAAATTACATCTCAAAGGGATTGAGTAGGTTAGGCTATTTCTATAGGCTATTTCTACTTCTATTTCTCTACTTCAAGTGCGGGTTACACACCTCTTGTTGCGTGTGTATCCCTTCCTTCTCTCGATTAGTCAGTAAAAAAAATTTATTGTTGTACCTACCGAGGCTGATGCATAGACAACGTCAATAATACAGTGCTTAAATTGTTGCTAATACGTGACAATATTAACAGGTTGATCAAGTCCATACCAAAATGCGACACCTTAGGTGAAATAACGGGCCTATAACCCTCCTTGCTTTCCTACTGCTATTTAGTCATGTGTGTCTCTCGGTCAATCGGGGGAAATCGATTCCTTTGACATCACTCATATGTTTATCTGCTCTCTTGCTGGCCTGGTGGTGGGCTGTCAACCTCTGGAGAGTTATTAAGGCCACCACACGTACTTACTGACCTACTGTTACCAACCATCCGTTGGTCCTGAACACTGTCCAGGACTAAAGTAAGTAGTAGTAGTAGGCAAAGTAAACTCTTTGTATATTCACCGAGAGGATATGTACACCTCTCGGTGTACATATCCTTGTGCATCCTAAACGCACAAATCAATTCGATATATATATATATATATATATATATATATATATATATATATATATATATATATATATATATATATATATATATATATATATATATATATATATATATATATAATTAATTAATTTTAACGTAATACTATAGAAGATATGGAATGTTATAATTAATATTAAATAATTTCAGAACGAAGTTCTGTACCGAACATAAGTTCAAGATTTTACATTTGGTGGTAAACAGTGATTTAATAAATGCTAATTATCACATATTATATTAAAGACTATTTAGGAAAAATAGAAAGAAACGGCGACATGATTTAGCTATTTAAGATAGGCTATGAAAGTTGAAGACTTTACATCACTCAGATTGAACACGAAATTAACTTCAAAATACCAGTCAGGTATTGTTTCGCTTTTTAACTCGTTGACCTTAGAATAACATTTCATTACATTTAGGTGTTTTACAATTTGGGGCTCTGTTTTTATAGCGTCTCTACTCGGGTTGCGCCAGGCTGAAGCAACACTAAAGAAGGCTTCGCACATTCTTCTGATATTCATCTTATACCTTTGTGGAAGCTGGTAGCGATTAGTATCTATGAAACAATTTAGAATAACGAATTCATTATTGAAGGCCCACTGGACAGCTACCTCACCAGACGAACGTCTTGGCAAGGGCCCGGGACTGAGATATAATTAGGTGCTCACGTATATATTTACATCGTATTTATGACTACAGGTGTCCAAGTGAAGGCCCAGAATACTTAGCTATGTTTAGCACTCGATTCTTAATTTTATTAGGACTGTAGATTTGTTTATAAATAGTATATATATATGCCAATATTTTATGAGCGAGTTTGTTTATTTGTTTACCGTAAATGTGAACATTACAAAGTTCAGTATTTATATTGTGGTTTTAATATATTTGTATCTTTACTTGATACAGTGAATGTTGTGACATCGCAAAACAGTATTGGCTTGAGGTATTTTGTATCATTTAGATGATCATCTTTGAAGATGAGCATGAGTAAAGGCAAATACACTGCCCTTGGGAACGCCATTGCTAGTTAATGTGTACGGCAACATGATGACGTCACAAAGTAACACTCATGACTCCTCAGCAATGCAGGTTAATTCCCTTGTGTTAGTTAGCAGTTATTGTAGGTGGAGTAGTATATTACCACAGTCTATATCCTTCAACACAGCCTCAAACAATGAACATGATTAAGAATGTATTATATTCAACAATGGCTTGTGACAAAGGTCACTAAATAGTCCTGTTGGGTAATTATTGGGCACTCAAAGAAGGGTTAGTCAACAAGCTGATTTAATGGTAATCTGAAATAGCACTTGAGGCGGGTAGGAGTAGTAGAGCAGCTCCGTAAGACACTCACCAAGGGAGTCGGCAGCGGCCTTGAGCGCTAGACAGCAGTCCGGGGTGTTGTGTTGCCACAAGACAGCTGCCATGTGTGTGGGGCCCAGTAAGGAGCTCCATACACCCACTGCTCGCGACCTGCCCTCCCTCGCTGCCTCCTCACACACCCTCACATGCTTCACCAGAGCCTCACACCACGCACTGCGAGGGCCCTTCATGTGTAGTGTCTGCAGTTCGTACACACCTGCCACAAAAGTACCATGATGCCTCTTACCCAAATATCAACTGTCAGTAAAATTATTCGCACACCCAGCGGCGCTATGTGATGAGGTGCGAAAAGATACATGAATTTAGATATACTTTTATAACGTGTGTTAAAGAAATGTGTACATATTTAATTAACAATTATCTACCACAAGAAATTTTAGCCAAATTTTCCCAGTTTGTTAATTGTAGGTAGTAAATGAGGGTGATTGTAACCTTTCCATTTTCGCTCACTGGATGGGGCGGCGTGGAAAGCAAACACACACACACACACACACTACTAACCTTTGCCAGACGGGTGCTTGATGGCGGTGCCCGGCAGGAGGGCGAGGAGCACGTTGTCTTGCTGCTGCCACATCCCTATGACACAACTGACGTAGCGACCAAGCCACTCCGGGTCACCGGCCAGCCTGGCTCTCACCTCAGCTCGGTGGGTCAAACTCTCTATGGAGGCAACGCAAATCATGGGCGTTAGTTAACCATTAGGCGTCTACTGTGACCCCACGCATGGATGACAACATATATGTGCGACTTACCGTATTCCCAGATGTGGACAACTTGGTTGAGCCCTCCGATCTCTGACGTCCAGTAGCCTAGGAGCTTGGAGTGAGCTGTACGCAGGTGGAGGTGTTCTTCCGTCAGGGTGAGGAACTCCCGCATCTGTAGTGTCCAGACTGTTAACTCCTGTTCTCATAACCAAGTAGTTTGCATCTGCATGTTTTCATCTGAACATTATGGCTGATGATAATGTGTGTTTTCATATCAAATTCATTAAGTTTGCTATTATATGTTTATTATATATGGTTGAAACAGGTCAGTGATCTAGGTCGCTGGAGCATCTGTTTAACTCACCTTCTCCGGATACAAAGTATATGTGCGCAATTCATAGAGTGTGTTTTGTGTTGCCTTCACACGGTTGTCCAGCTGATGACAGCAACTGGTCTGGAAAAGATGAAGAGAGAGACTTTATGTGGAAATTTTCTTATGGATTTTGTTACCATTGAGCAGTTATCGTATATATTATATTATATGAGTACACTCCGGACTGTGGCTTTGTGTCAGGGGACCTGTAATAGTTGAATTGTCAAAACTGTACCCAATTTCTTTTCTGAAGGTTTGTTTAGTCGTGTTCTCACCTAGGTGTGTTTGCAGAGATTGACCCCCCTCCCTTATCCCCGGAACCCACCTTTTAACAATTGGTAGTCTGAGACGTGAAGTTCTAAGCATCTTCTAATGATAAAATGTCGGAGACCTCCGTTACCAATACACGAGTGTATGCGGGTTATATATAAAAACTTGGACAAACACCAGCTCCGTGCCTCCAGATTCCTAGTGTAATTTATAGCATATCGTGGTCCTTGAGTTAAATTGTGCGTCTGGGGTGAACCAAAACGCAGGTTCGATCCCACCTTCCTGCTCCAAAGATTTTCTCATTGTTATATCACATCGTGATTTCATTATATATATATATGTAAGTGGGTAATTATAGGTAATTAGTAATGCTAATTATTTAGGATTAATTGTGCATAGGCAATATGCATCCTTCGCTATTAAGTGCGCCAATTATAATTTTGGGATGAATTTTCTAAACTTGTAGACTTTATTTACGTACTCTATGGTCGGGTACATGTGCCCCCTACTTATGTTGAATAGGTAAACAAGTCACTTAAGTATTAAGGTCACTTAACAAGTATCCCTGCACATACACACTTTAGCCTGCAACTAGCAGTTGGAAATTACTAGAAACTGCAGTCGCAAATAATTTATTAAATGAATAAAATTTATATAGCCTATGTTGTTCAGCCTTATGCACAAACACACTGGTCAAATACAGATGCTGTACTTAAGACATTCTCCTGCTATGCACCCATAAGATGACACAAGTCCATGGTTGTAAGATGTCAATTTTTTATTTATTTATTTATATATATACAAGAAGTTATATTGGGTTTATGAGAGTACATAGTATGATGTGTTTACATTAATCCCCTTGTTTGATAGTCTCTCTACTTGAGACAGTTAATCATATATAAGCAGACGATGAGTCACAATAACGTGGCTGAAGTATGTTGACCAGACCACACACTACAGACTTGAGAATGGTCCAGGATGGACCGAAACGTCGTCGTCCCTTCACCTTCTAGTGTGTGGTCTGGTCAACAATCATATATAAATGACAGGATGAACAGATCAGCGGTTTCACTTTCTTTTGTCAGTGTTATGGTGGTATGTCCACTCACGCTGTCCATGCATAAACTCGCCTTTCAGGTCAAAACAAAAAACTACGTATAATGTTGCTATAACAACAAAGAAAGCTGTCAAACTCACCGTCAAATTCCGTGAAGCAAGCAGAGAGGTCCGTAGCCTCAGATGAACCCGAGAAAGCTGAGAGAGGAGAGGCCACATGACTTAACAGGGACTTCTTAACAACAAACACTAAACTGTGTTGGAGATGGAGGATGATGGAAGGATGGTGGAAGTTGATATATATATAATTTAGCGTAAGAATCACGTCACAATGACTATAGGGGCTGACGGAGCGCGGAGCAGGACGATAAAGATGACAGTTGCTGTGACGGTGAAGGCGGACGGGTTTAAAGTGAGACAGATAGTGGTGGTACTCTAGCCAGTGTTGCTCATTTAGGGTCCACTAATTATCCCTAGAGCGGCACAAGTGAGCCCAAGCGTCTCCGTGTAGGGTACAGCACAATGCCTTGCGGGTGTATTCACGTCGCCTGTTGCAGGGGAAACTATATGTGCCTTGCGGCAAATGAACACACTTTATGGGGGGATGTTTGGTGACCCCTTGGCGTCCCTGGGGATGGCGAGTAGTGTGTTGTTATACTGAGTCAGGGCTCAAAAAGAGGCGTTAAAACATGCTGGTACTACGTCATCGTTGTCATGACGTCACACAAGTAGCAAAACATGGAAATAAAAATAAATTTTAGCTGTTATTTTCCCGATATTGTCGATATGTATTATAGCATCTGAAAGGGCACAAATTAATCTGCATTTTAAATCTATCAGAATGCGAATACGTGTAGATTAAACAAAGATACTTTTTGTTATTAACGGAGAAAGATTAATTATGTTTCCACAGTGAAGAAATTCCAGTCACATCCTCACACACAATTACCTAACACGATGATACTTACAAAGTAAGTAAAGCTCCATGGGACAAACAAGAAATTAAACTAGACCTAGGTATACTAATCTCTGTTTTCAAAAAAAAAAAAAAAACACACACAACCTAAAGAAATTAGGGCTAACAAGAGTATAATTTCAGACATATTTTTTTAAACATGTCAGAGATTTTAACATGTATGAAATGTTTTTCATACATTTTAAATGTATGTTTAGTAATTTTAAAAGTAATCTGTCATTGATATCCCTCTTTATCTGCACTTTACCATTCAAGTATCATGCCCATCTCTAAGAAAGGTATTGAGACTCTTGCTCTTCAAAATGCTGTCACACACAAAATAATTGCCTCCTCCGTCAAGCAGCTGTGTTCTCACGAGCACCGTGTCTACACCGGTGGCCAAGTCCAGCCAACACAACGCACTGCATCAGGCAATAAGTTGTATAGTAATAATATTTGTAAACAGACTATAAGTGTCTGACTAAACAACTGGCTAAACTCTCCACTAACTGAGCTTTACAAGTAGCTAGCAGTAAAGGTTCATCCTAGAGATCCATAGGACCAGTGTTCAATCCCCGGCTGGGACAGCAACGGTTGGGAACGTTGGTTTTTATACCTGATGTATCTATTTACCCAGCACTAAAAATGGTACCCGTAAATTAGGTAACTGCTGTGGTTGCATCGTGCCGTAGGTCAATAGTTAGCCTTCGTCTAGGAGTACCTCGATAACCCTAAGTACAAGCTTTTCTTCTCCAGTAATTGAAATTGTTTATTTTGCATATTGTATATTTAGTCGAGTTTGGGACCGCGGATGTCAGAGTCCTTCATTTTGATGTGATGTTCATGGTATTTATTAAATCCATCTACGAGGAATTTCAAGTATCTGCTCCCTTTCGATCGATATAATATACATTAATAGGTCACGAAAACAATGGTGGTATATGTACAGTATATAAGCAGAGCTAGCAGTGTGACGTCACTAAACGTGACGCAATACCCTTGACGTTGAATGCTTGTCTCTCAGGGATCGTTTTGAACCCGAGTAGAAATGTGCCAACTTCCAAATACATCGTCATTCATTCGGATAATAATCAGCGGGAAGTTTGTATGTGATTAAATGTGCATTTATATTAGATTTGAAATTACAATCTCGAGAAGCTATTAAATACACATACAGTTTCCAACTATCGGAATGTTTTAAATATTTGTAAATATACTAACCCAGGTCATGTTGGCAACACCTACACATGCCGGCAGCGGCTCATTGGACGCTTATCACAACTGCATTTTATATAAAATTTATATAATAAATAAACACACTATACGTTCTCACCTAGTTGTATTTGCGGGGGATAAGCTACGACTCTTGGGTCCCGCCGCTTAACTCTTAACTGACTACAGGCTCCACAGCCTACTGAGCTCGGTCATATCTATATTTAAAGCTGTGTATGGGCTCAACACTTCACTTATTACCACATTCCATTTTCTCATATTTTGACAATGAACAAATATTTATAATGTCTCTGTGGATCATTTGGGTATTTAGTTGAGATCTATGTTCACTTATTTATGTGCTACCCATGCTAAATAGTTTTTCTGTTTGCCCTGTATATTATCCTGAGTATTTTATGTGGTAATCATTTTCCCTATTCCTTATTTACCTGAATTTACCTAAGGGTCACTCTCTCTAGTGGCCTTGACGAAGACAGGAAGCCGGCGGCTTGTGAAAGGTCCCCCTGATCTCTGAGGATAAACCTCTTCAGTATTTTTTTTTTTTTTTGTAACTTATGCCTCAGTTCTGGGACGAGTCCGATGGCATACCTCTGAACATTCACCATCTATAACGAGATAAGGACTCCGCGTTGATGCCTCATATTCCAGAATTGGTCTGACATAAATGGTATACAATATCCTAAACGCTTTTGTTCAGATTCTGGGTTTTTATATTAGCCAAACTTCCGGGTGCTGCTGATGATTCTAACTAGAATCTTCTCTATAGAGATGAGAATCTAACTATAATCTTGTCTATAGAGAAGAACCCTGCCCTGGATGCCCTGCATCCAGGGCAGGGTTCAGTTCGACTTCATTTGGGAAGTTTAAGAATTAACTCTCCAAGGTACATTTTACAGTTTTATATGACCTGACGCTGAGATGTTTCGCTGAGCCTGCCAACATTTTCAAAGGCAAACAAGTGTGTACAAGATAGTTCGAGTACCCGTATAACAGAGATGAATGAGGTTAACGTATTACATGTGTTAAATGACTTGCTACAGTTTCCTTAACTCTCAGGTGGCTGGTGGTAAACTTCGAAGATTTTGTATATGTTTGGGATGGTATATGAACATGCAGGCCGCTCCAAGCAACAGCCTGTTGGACCAAGTTATCACAAGTCGAGGCCAGGCTCGACTTGTGAGTCTCGTCCTCACCACACACTCAGACTTTGGCAAAACACTCAAGAGAGTGCGAAAGACTTTGTGTAAATTCTTTACATAAATTCCATAAATACACAAGTGTGGGTTTTTATCATTATGATTGTTAGAAATCTTATATTTAAGTAAATTGGTGATACGTTATGGTGATTTGCTATTACATGGTTGGCGAGGTTTGCTGTATAATACAGCAAATAATACAGCAGTTACGGTCATTAAAGCGACGACTGTCATAAATACTTCATAAGAGTTTTATTTCAGGGTTTACACATTCAAGACGCTGACTGGAGTGACATATATTATTTACTAATAAAATATACCTTTCATGTACCTATTAATATATATAAATTATAATGAAGTTAATAATAATAATAGCTAAAAATAATTGGCAATATAAAGTAATAATACTTTATAATATACTTTATATACAAAAAATTATATAAAGTATAAAAATATACTTTATAAACATGTAAAAATTGTCTAAAAAATGATTTTAAATAAAAAACGAAAAATTAAGCCAGTTGCAGAAACTTGCAACTAGGTAATTAAATTAATAGAATGCAATAGCTGCAATATACTATTAAGGTGATACACAGAATTATGTGTGGGAGCAAAATCGACATGATAATTGAGGACACTGTTGTCTCGGTTGTACACCTGGGTTCATTCCCGACTCACAATCGGGAATTCCGGGTTCGAATCCCGGACGAGGCACAAAAGTCTGGGACATGTTTCCCCTCACCTAATGCCACTGTTCACCTAGCAGTAAATAGGTACCCGGGGGTGCATCCAGGGCAGGGTTCAGTTGTTCGACCTTGACGCGTTCTCGTACAAGCCTAAAACATATATATATATATATATATATATATATATATATATATATATATATATATATATATATATATATATATATATATATATATATATATATATATATATATATATATATATATATATATATATATATATATATATATGTACAGGCTTCCTGTTCGAGACAAAAAATATTGTTGTAAGACAGCTTAGAATGAAAAGCAAGACTGACACATGTCAGAAAACAGTGTGAAGTGGAGATGGTAACTCAATAAATGAAGATGTGTTTAAGCTAATAAAATCAAAGAGACGGTGCTGGAGATACAGAGGCGGTGCTGCTGGAGATAAAGAGGCGGTGCTGGAGATAAAGAGACGGTGCTGGAGATAAAGAGGCGGTGCTGCTGGAGATAAAGAGGCGGTACTGGAGATAAAGAGGCGGAGAAAGAGAGTAAGCTCCTCCCCCCTCGCACGGTGCGCTAAGCTCTGCACTCCTCCCGGCCAGTAGTCGCCCCCAAACACACTATGCCTGCGTGCACTCTGCACACCACTCCGACACACGCTAACTTTAGCCGACCGCGCACGCTGACGCTCCAAGTCCAGCAGCATACAGCAGCCCCTAATTGTTTGCTCCAAACAGGCTTCGTGGCGGCAAACTTTCTCCTCTTGTTAATACAGCAAAGATTCATTTTATTGGGGAATTTCTTAGCGGCTGGATCCACGAAAGGTTGGTTTAGTTAAGATTATTTCATTTGTTTTGCAGTCTTGCTCACTCAATTGGGTATTATGTCTCTGTTTATGTCTGTGTTACTGTTTGTGTATGTCTTAATGCCTGAATCTGTGCCTCTATGTTTTTTGAGTGCCAGAATTCTAGTTTATAATGCACCCCCATACTCATCCTGTGAGTGGTAGTTTATTGTGCACCCATTACTCATGCTGAGTGGTAGTTTATTGTGCACCCCATACTCATCCTGTGAGTGGTAGTTTATTGTGCACCCCATACTCATCATGTGAGCGGTAGTTTATTGTGCTCATGCTTCAGTGATGCGTAGGCCAACATGTTGAATGTTTCATCTTAGTCTAGAAAATGGCAGTGTTAAAGCTGGTGTTAGCAGCCTGTTGATAGTTGCATGGTGTTTCTTGTGTGATGAATCCTCATAATGCATCCAGAGTCTGCCAGTGTAGACTACTTATCACGTGCCTCTGTATGACTAACCATCCTGTGTGATGGGGATTTCAGCACCACGTAGCTACCTTTTTGACACACACTGTACTTCCCTTCATATAGCCTAGGCTAGCTGCACAAATGCAAATGTACAATTTTCTATTGTCGCTGTATATGTCGATACTATCGTGACACACAACACTAAAATAAAGTTGACAAGGTCAACGATACGCTTCTCTTAACGTGAGGCCACGTAATAAAACTCTAAACTGAAAATCCTACATAATACAACAGAGAAGAAATTTCCACGAATCAATAAATGAATTTTGTATACCACAGTGTTTGATAGGGGTAATGAACATTAATAATTAATGTAGATTTTAGGAAGTGTGTCGACGCGTGAGGGCGTCTCTCTAACACTACACTCATTATTATTATTATTATTAACATCTTTATTGACAAAATTAATTACAATTTTGCCTAATCTGAGGATTTTGATAGTCTTATTAAATTGAGGATAATGCTAGTATTCACTGTCACGGGGGACGTTCCTGCCTTGATGAGTCCTAGATGGTAGCGACGTTGGAGAGTCTTTTAGAGAGTGTTTAACGTACAGTCCTACACCTCGCGTGGTGGATCCAAACAAAGCAAAGTTAAAATGAGAGTCTTACAAGAGCGCTTGTGAAACTGGAAGGTAATTACACACATCATGGAGTAGTTAAATTCACATAGGGAATTGCTGTTAATAACGTCTTCAAGTCAGTGGGATCCAAGACATGTGGGGACATTTAGGACGTCTTAGTGACGTCACGTAAGATGTGTGATGTTTTATTGATGCTAGTTGAGGTGAGGGAAGGTCAGGTTGGTTAGATCAGGATAAGTTAAGTCAGGTCTGGATATATAGGAATAAGTTGGGATACGTTAGGTTAAGTCAGGTCAATATAGCCTGGTCAGGCTAAGTTTGGCCAGGTTAGGTCAGGTTTGGTTAGGTCAGGATAGGTTAGGTAAGGTCAGGATAGGTTAGGATGGATTGAAAGAGTATCAACGACGTTGGCAAACGAAACGTTTTCAGGTGTTAGACCCTACTCCTGATCGCCTATACCAGGAGTCAACCCCCCTACTGACGACCCCGGAGACGTCTTCCCTGGAGAGCAGCGTCTGACTGCTTCTTTGACCGGTCTGAATTTAAGTATTCTTCTGAACCAAGATAGTTACGTCGTTTGATAATTAACATTACGTGTATGACGTCAAAGGCAAAATGTAAGAGTTTAAATACATTCAACTCCTCTAAATGGAATGCATATACGTCTTAGTTTGGCCGTTCGTCGCTCAAAACTGTTCAATGTACACTGAAATTTCAACGCAGTCGTCACAACGTCAATATTCCGATGCTTGAGGGAAATCTATTAATGCATCCAAATCGTGTTGTTTAATGTTGTATTTTGTGGTGATGTATTTGACACAATGTTGTAGGCATCCTGTTATGTGTTCACTTTATAACATGTCTCTGTGTAAGCTTCCTCCCACTCTTTGTACACCCCCCTGGCCTGGTTGGTAGAAGCCTCGCTTCTTACAGGGTTGACGTTCGATCCTCAGTGGTCTAATGTGGTTTTGTACCGTTCCATTATTCATTGCTTTAATCCCAGCTCTCAGCCTGTCTTGTTATCCCAGCTGCTTATCATATCCTCGTATCTTAGCTAGTATTGTTCTAATATTCTACCTCATATCCCAGCTCTTGTCCTGTGCTTTGTAGCCCTTACAGGTGCTATGCAGTCATTGTGGCCTAGCATTCTCTACTCACAATTACCCAACCCATTCTCCACAAATAATAGTACCTATAGCTACTATGGACGAAATGTACACACTGTGGACGAGGTTTACATATAAAAAAAGTACACACTGTGGACGGGGTACAAATTCATAACGGTTACAATTATGATCTTGTAATGAGTGTTGTCTCGCTACAGATGATTAAGAAACACGCGACATCATCCCTAACTTGCTACACCTTCGCCGTGATGCTCCTGCTGCTCTGCCACACCCCAGCAGGTGAGTGTATGTCCTAAGGTTTCATTAATTTACAGTGTCCTCTCCTAACCTAATAGACTAAACCAGAGGACCCAAAAAACAGAAAACGGAACAGTACGTCATTTTTCGCGAGCCGCTTCCATTTTCTAGTACGACTAATTTTTGGTCTCATGTAACCCATACGAGCGAAAAAGCGACGTTCTTTGCAAGAGGAGAAGGTTGGTGTGTAAGTGAGCGAAGGGTCCGATTATGTAGACATGGCCAGTGTGGGGGATTTTGTCTTGCGGCACTGTTTGCCAGGAGTGTCTGCAGCCTTGTTTATGAACAGTGTCTCTGGAGATACCATCGACATGCTGGTGAGGGTCACAGTAGGGACAATACTTTATTGCCTTCGATTCTTCCCCTCAGCCGACCCAGCCATCCCGTAATTGTCTGTGTTCTGTCTTCATGTTTATGTCTCTGTCTGTCTCTGTCTTCCTGTGTCTCTATGTATGAATGACTTATCACTCTGTCTGTCTCTCTCTTATAATTAGCAGAAAGTCTTGAGGATAAGAAAAAACATAACATCAAGTGCACCGTGAGGGATTCGAATCCCCCTCAAGGCTCCTATGGATTTCCGCACAATAACATCTATTATATATATATATATATATATATATATATATATATATATATATAATAGATGTTATTGTATATATATATATATATATATATATATATATATATATATATATATATATATATATATATATATATATATATATATATATATATATATATATATATATATATATATATATATATATATATACAATGTTCGTCTGTTAGGGGTTGGAGGCCAGACTCACACAACTTCTCATGGTGACTGGTAACTGTAGGGGGAATGTCATAGGGAGGGTTGGGGTCGACCCCCATGCCCCTCCTAGAGTAGGATTGGCTCCTAATGACTCCCATGAAGTCTAAAATAGGGGCTTTATTTTGTACTGCAGCAAGTAACAATAGTAAAAATAACGTTGTGGAAACGTTATATTTGCTGGGGTTGTATACAGGGTGTTGTGTGAGAGAGAGAGAGAGAGAGAGAGAGAGAGAGAGAGAGAGAGAGAGAGAGAGAGAGAGAGAGAGAGAGAGAGAGAGAGAGAGAGAGAGAGAGAGAGAGAGAGAGAGAGAGAGAGAGAGAGAGAGAGAGAGAGAGAGAGAGAGAGAGAGAGAGAGAGAGAGAGAGAGAGAGAGAGAGAGAGAGAGAGAGAGAGAGAGAGAGAGAGAGAGAGAGAGAGAGGAGAGAGAGAGAGAGAGAGAGAGAGAGAGAGAGAGAGAGAGAGAGAGAGAGAGAGAGAGAGAGAGAGAGAGAGAGAGAGAGAGAGAGAGAGAGAGAGAGAGAGAGAGAGAGAGAGAGAGAGAGAGAGAGAGAGAGAGAGAGAGAGAGAGAGAGAGAGAGAGAGAGAGAGAGAGAGAGAGAGAGAGAGAGAGGAGAGAGAGAGAGAGAGAGAGAGAGAGAGAGAGAGAGAGAGAGAGAGAGAGAGAGAGAGAGAGAGAGAGAGAGAGAGAGAGAGAGAGAGAGAGAGAGAGAGAGAGAGAAAAAAAAATCAAGTACTTCCATAGTGCACCCAATTTACATAAATGTTCCTGAGAACCACTAACACTAGTGGCCTCGACGAGGACAGGAAGCCGGCGGGTTGTCCCCTTCCCCATCTGCCTTTAATCTTTTCCAGTTACACTTTAAAAGTTAACTGGGTGTTGGCCTTTACTGCTTGGGCGTGAAGGCGGTGACGATACACCCATAGCGTACACGGTACGTCAGCAGTATACACGATACAGCTGTAGTGTAAACTATACAGCTGTAGTGTACATACATCCATGATAAGGTGCGTGTTCCTCTTTAGCACGATACCCTGACTATTGCAGGTATACTGCATCTACCCCCCACGACACACCTTACCCCGCCTCCCCCTTCTTCCTCTATCCTTTCAACAGCTATTCTCCCTCTTCCCCCCTCTATCCCGGAGTCCTAGAACCCCTACCAATCCCCTTCTTCCCCCCCCACACACACACCCCGCAGCTCCTCGCACCCCCACAACCACCCACGACTTTTATTTACTCCTGAACCGAGTCGGCATCTGACCGGTACCCACGAACGGTATGGATCGACGTCTCACCTTTGACCTGCTATCATGTATTGAATAACGATATCAGCCCACACTACGCTACCGGAAGTACTCCCTCACCCGCGGCAGGTCATAAATAAGTGATCCGTAACGTTCCTGGCCAGCAGGTCCTGGGCCAGCAGGGTCCTGGGCCAGCAGGGTCCTGGGCCAGCAGGTCCTGGGCCAGCAGGGTCCTGGGCCAGCAGGGTCCTGGGCCAGCAGGTCCTGGGCCAGCAGGGTCCTGGGCCAGCAGGGTCCTGGACCAGCAGGGTCCTGGACCAGCAGGGTCCTGGACCAGCAGGGTCCTGGGCCAGCAGGGTCCGAAGATAATTATCAGGAGAAAGCACTAAGCCAGTACAATTATATGACACTTGGAAGGGATAAGAGGATAAGGATTTGAGATAGGCCAAAGTGAGGGAAATGTCCAACCACTTGGACGGTCGGGGATTGAACTCCGACCTGAAAGAAGCGAGAGCATCGCTCTACCGTCCAGCCCAAGTGGCTGGACAACGGGGAAGTAGAGCAGTATTTTGTTAGTATAATTTCTACCATATACGTGGCCATTCATGTATACACGCAGGGTAAGCTTGTCTCCTTACCTTGAGATGGTTTCGGGGCTTAGCGTCCCCGCGGCCCGGTCTTCGACCAGGCCTCGAGCTCATCTCCAGCATGACAGTCATGTCATCAATGTCAGCAACCAGTCTATTGTTGCCTCATCAACAACCTTGTTAATCATTTAAACTTTGGTGTAGAGGTTTATCAACCTGAGGACAGTCACCAAGGCCACTACAAGTACTCATTGGCCAATCAGCATGTATACCTTGCTTCTACACATTGTCCAGAGCTGAAGTAAACTTTCAGTGGGTGTAAACCTCTCAGAAGTGAGGGTACACCTCTCAGAAGTGAGGGTACACCTCTCAGAAGTGAGGGTACACCTCTCAGGGTATATCCTACACGAAGGTAAGTACAAGCAGACGAGTGCATGGAGTACAAGGAGATGAATGAACACATAAATATGTTGATTTGAGGTTCAGGCAAATTCCAGAGAGGGAAGAGAAGGGAATTATCAGGGAAAACACCAAGCCATTACGACTATATAGGATTTGGAATGGGTGAGGGGAAAAGAATGGTGACCAACCACTTGGACGGTCGGGGATTGAACGCCGACCTGCATGAAGCAAGACCGTTCTCACCCTTCCCACCACGCCTCATCTCTCCTCCCCCCCCCCCCCTCACGCCTCAACGCAAACTCAGCGAAAATCCACACACAACCAAACAAATAAACAGTGTCCGGGATTTCGTGACTGATCACTGATAAAACAACGTTAAACGGAAACTCACTTGTTTACAACTCACAACTCACTTGTTTACAACGACCTATGAAACACGGATTATTATCATTCCTAAGATAATTCATTCTATCGAAAAATTGGATACAGAAATCCAGGGAAAAATCGGTTAATATGAAGAAACTAAACAAATGGCACCACATCCTTTCTCCAATGTTTACCACCGTGTAAATTATTGGGCAGGTTCTGTCATGCCTGCCACGTGTATTGACGAGGTGAAGGGCACTCCTTGTGCCTTACATTCTCCCGCCTTCCCTGCTCTCTCTCTCTCTCTCTCTCTCTCTCTCTCTCTCTCTCTCTCTCTCTCTCTCTCTCTCTCTCTCTCTCTCTCTCTCTCTCTCTCTCTCTCACACACACACACAAGTTCAAGCAAGGAGAGCAGACTGTTGTAACTTGGAGAGCACTAAAGTGGGTCAGAGAATGTTTAACGATGACGAGACAAGAGAAATCACACTATCGTCATATATCAATGAGAAAATCCACAGGAGCCGTGATGAGGACTCGAAGCTAAGCGCTGGATATTCCCAGATGCACGCTGTAGACAACTACGCCACGACATGGTCAAAAGAATTGCAACCTGGGGGTACTACTGCACCAGACTAGGCTTCCCGAGGATCCCTCTAGGATTCGAATCCTCATCACGGCTCCTGTGGATTTTCTCATGACAAAACAAAGTAATTATACAAATAATGCACCAAAAACTGTGCATTATCATGTACAACTTTAAGTGTCTGTGTGGCGGGATATTCCAGAAGGTCCCGCATATCTCCCATAAGCCCAATAAAGAGTAAATAAAGATAGGACGAGAGAGGTATCGTATTCACCAAGGATTCTATCGAGGGGCCACGTACCTCGGGCGGGAATTCGGGAAAACAAGCCTAATCACCAATACTTTCTTTGTCTGAGTAATCAAATGAAAAAAGATGGAAACATTTGAAACAAGTCAACACTGTACATTCCAAGCTTCACGCAGGACGCAGTATATCATGAACTTGAGGGATACTTTCTGACATAGACCTCTGTGACAAGCTTCTTAACAGATAATACAAGTTAATACTTAAGGTATAAACGTGTGCCACAGCAGTTCTGTGCAGCACACAGTTCTATAATATGCCACTGAAGTTATAAATGTATCAAGGGGTATCTTGCAGTTCTCACCCTCCAGTTGTTGCCATATTTCCATAACCGACAATTTCAAATAAGTTTACAATTTAACAAAATGTTTTAAATTTCCACTAACTTGAAATTGAAATAAGTTTATTAAGATATAAATACCCACAAATGGAGAGGTAGCTCAAACTATTCTCACCCCGTTCAGTACAATGTGTTTATTTATAATAAATATATATATATATATTATATATATATTTATGTATTATATATATAATGCGGCAGAGGCAGCAATGCTGACCTCTTCCTCTGGGAAAATGGCCGGTTTCTGTGCGAGGCTTGCCAGCAGCCAGAGACCATTAGCTTATGTGTCTACATAGCCATATCTCACACATTATTCAGAATTTACTCTTCTTAAATTGCCTAGTTGACATATATATCTTAATATTTCTCAGAACTCCTTAAAACCCTTGATTGTGCCAACGATTGTTTGATTGAAACCCTACCAAACCATTGATTGTGCCAACGGTCCCGAACTGTGGTATGAGTGGGTAGAAATCCGGATAAGGAATCATTTTATCGGAAATATGAGATAGGCACGAATGACCTCCTTAGCAGCTGGCTTAGAGCATACAAAATCACATAAAGTTCTGTTGTAAAATCCTAGTCTCCAGGGGGGTTAAGAACAAACCATATATACGTTATTACATACGCATTATTATGTCATTAATTAATCAAATTCAAATGTTCTATTTATGTATGTTCTATTATATTTATGTTCTATCTATGTCTGTACATTTGTCATAATAGCATAACATAACATCTTTAATTAAAACACAAATTCAGCTACCCTACCCTAACCTGGCAAAAGCCAATCTAACCTAATCTAACAATGCATACAGTTTAACAGTAAGAAAATCCCATTCGTGGTATCGTAATCTTGCGGTTACCTTGCGTTGATTTCGGGAATTAACGTCCCCGCGGCCCGGTCTCTGACCAGACCCCCTTGGTCTACCACGACGGTGATTCACACTAAGCTGGTGCTTCGGATCCATCACAGGTGGGGACGAGATGGAGACTGTCTACCGGCTGCGACCAGAGGTGATGGCCAAGAACAGCAGCTTCCTGCGCGGGGAGGGCCTGGTGCTGGCCAAGCAGCGGGTGACTGCTTGTGTGTGGGTCAGCATCACCTACTTCAGGAGACCCTCTGTTGCCCTCAGCATAGGCAGTAAAGACGTCAGCGCCGCCGATATCAGCGTTGGTAAGACCACAACAAATTTGTTTCACCTTTTGCATAGCGAAAATCAGAGTAACGTGTTGTATCTATCAAGGATTAGTTTGGCAATAGGTGTGGGATATGTTGCATATGTGTACCAACAGAGGTATGTTGTATATACGGTATGCGTACCGCTAGGGATCCGTTTCATACCAGGAATGAAACGTAGTTCTAAAAATATAGCTCCTTTTATAACAACCAGCTCTCAAGATTTGACAACCGTAAAATTTGAAATGGTTTTACGCAAGAGGAAGCGTCAGAAACTAGTCAAACCATCTAACCTATCAAGGTCAATGCTCACTACTTCCAGGAATCGTCAATATTGCAGCGCTTCTCATTTCCTCAAAGCACAGTAATTCTTACGTTGTGTATTAACTGAGAGGACATTGCTCTCAATGCAAACATTGCTCTCAATGCAAACATTGCTCTCTTGTTTACATTGCTCTCAATGTAAACATAAATTTAGGTACTGCCTTGAGATAGACATATTGAGAGATATTGTTAACGTAGCTAGTGTTCGGGGCTAGGCTAGTGATCAGGAAACTCTCTCTAATAAAACCCCTCTGGTTGAGGGAACCGTTCTGGGATGTTTACGTCTCTCAATGTTGTCACTGGCGCTCTTGAGTTGGATATTACCTGGCCAATGGTGAAAGACCTTAAGGGTTACAGAAAAACAAAATAGAGCCGAACTTTAGGGCCGCAGAGCTCGTCCATGTAGAGTCTTGGAAACAAGAATGTGGATTTGCGTAACAATTGCCGGGTAATATAATAGATGAGGGATTATTTGAATGTTTTAAAGAGTAGATTAGATTTAAAGAGCAGATTAGACGTATGTATGAACGAGTCTGGGTGGGTATAGAGGGTCTATCTCGTATGGGTCAATTAGGCTTTCTGCAGTTTCCTTAATATTGGAAAATTGGAATATTGTGGATGGATGCCACAATTCCAAAATAATTCTCCAGCTGTAAACAGCGAAGGGACGCGCTTAGCACCGATGAGGATGGGTTAGGATAGGTGGGGGAGTGAATTAGTAATACGAGTGGTTGATAAGTACGTGTTAACATGGACTGGGATAGGTATGGCTCGATGGGAGAAAGTGGTTATAGCGGTTAGACGCTTCTAGAGATATCCAAGGTCGCATAGGAGACCGGGGATAGGTAGTAGCATGTGAAGGGATAAGCGTTAACGTAATGATCATTTAGACTATTTTGACAGCTTTTCTATCGCATCCTGCACTAGACCCAACCTTCCTTGGTGAGTACCTGGCCTGGTAAAGACGTTTCGGTCCGTCCTGGACCGTCATGGTTCAAGACGGACCGAAACGTCCGTCTTTTAATGTTCACACGTGTGGCCTGGCTGTCTTAATTTCACCAAAGTTATTGTGTCTCGATACAAATTAGTAGTTTGTATGAGACACAGAATCGTACTGGTGAAGGAATGTGAGAGTGCTGCGATAGCGGCAGTAATGAAAGACCAACAAAAGGGTGAGCTTAATATTTCACAAGTGCTGGTTTCACCTTCTTGGAAGGGGAGGGGGAGGGGGAGGAGGCCTTTATTAATACTTAATGGGGCGAAGGGGGGGGGGGGGGGGGGGGGTTGTAAAGAGCGCGTCTGGTGGTTACACAAGTGTAGGTTCATATACAACTCTTCCTTGTAGAGTCAAGGCTTACGTAAAGTATCCGCAGATACACGCCACGTCGTAAAGTATCTGCAGATACATCCCATAAAAGTATCTACAGATACATGCCACGTATGGTATCTACAGATACACGCAATGTAAAGTATCTACAGATACACCCCATAAAAGTATCTGCAGATACACCCCATTAAAATATCTACAGATACATGCCACGTAAAGTATCTGCAGATACACCCCATAAAAGTATCTACAGATACTCGTCACATAAAGTATCGGCAGATACACCCCATAAACGGATCTACAGATGCACCCCATAAAAGTATCTGCAGATACACCCCATAAACGGATCTACAGATACACTCCATAAAAATATCTACAGATACACACCACATAAATTATCTGGAGATATCGTTCTCTCGATTAGCCGCCCAGTAAAAACAAAAAACAAAACCCTTAGGCCTAACCTAAAACGTACAGACCCCAAGCAACCCGCCTAACCTGACGAGGCCGATGCATAGAAAACGTCGATATTACGGCGTTGTTGTTTTTAATACGTCGCAATTTTAAGCGGCTTGGTCGATTCCGTTAATAATGCGACGTGTTGGGTGAGAACGGGGGGTAAACGACCGTCTAGTTAAATAAATACAATTAAATATAATTATATATAATTAGGACAATTATTTTGAGGGCAATGGAGTGAAATTGCCCTCAAAAATTATTATTAATTTTTATCAATAAAACTCAATTGCCTCAAAATGATTATCATTGATATATCACGCTATTGTGATTCCATTGCGATATATAATTATATACATGTAGTAGTAGTAGTAGGCATCCATCAGTCTCAGGAGACTATGGAGTTGCGCTCTGATGTCGGCCTGGTCTGGAGTGGCCTCACCAGGGCACAAAGCCAAGGGTAGGTTGATATGGAGGAGAAGCTGTTACCCATGCAGCAGGTCATAGACATATACATATATACAGTAGGAGTTTTAGTTAGCGTGAGAAAAATGAAAGGGGAAAAAAAGACAAGAGAAGAAAAGGAATCTGAGAGATCCATACAGTTGTTTCAATACCTCTTGAGAGGAGATGGGGAAGAACAAAAAAGGGGGGGAGGGGTTACCAAGGGGATGAGAATGAGGGGATCAAAGGGGAGAGATAGGGGGAAAGAGGGGGGAAGAGACCCAGGTGCAGCCGGGTACCGCTTCTATTTATATACATGTAAATATTGTGTGAGGTTGGATGGGGGTGGGGAGAAAGGGGAAAATGGGAGAGATGGGGGGAGGGAAAAGAGAATGGATTGGAGGGGGAGAACAGAGTATCCCGGGCACTGCCGGGTTTCCCTCCTAGTGTGTGTGTGTGTGTGTGTGTGTGTGTGTGTGTGTGTGTGTGTGTGTGTGTGTGTGTGTGTGTGTGTGTGTGTGTGTGTGTGTGTGGTTTATAAATCCTATTTTGTATAAACTCCATGGTGGAGTTTATACACTAGCATAGAGGAGTTTACGAACAGTGAGGCGTTTACGAACACGGTCGTGCAGTGTAAACAAACATTTCTGGTGAAGAGTGCCGCCGTCACTGGTTCTTGGTGGTAATCTGGATTGATCGGATTCATGTTACTCGAAAGCCTGACGTCATCGGTACATTCTGCGAATTTCACCACTATTCTCTAAATAAACATCAGCAACAGTCTGTAGCTATAGTGGGGCCACAGGTGGTAACTGCTGCACGGGTTATTACATTTGTTGTCTTCACAAGATGTTTCCTCGAAGTCCAAAGAAGATTGGCTTGGGGGATGCGACTCTGGTACGGTGAGATGGCGGCCATCTTGGCGGCCATCTTGGAAACAAAGATGGCCGCCATGCCCAATTCGAATAGTACCGGGAAATGGGCTATAACTCGGGAACGGCTGCGTCTAGCTGCAAATTCCAGAGAACCTAAATTTTCTCCAAACACTTCTTTACACTATAATAACACATTTCACTGAAGGGTTCGCCTTTTATCATTTGTTTTATTGAAAATAGATTGTCATAAATATCTTTTTGTTACAAATTGTGTGATTTTTAAGGAGATATTGAATTTGAAATCATCAACAAGGAAGTACAACTTACACCAGCCACAAAGAAAAGAAGAATGCACATAAAAACTGTGCATTATATGTGCAGAAGACAATAGTGGGAAGAACAGATAATAGCAGAAAAAAAGTTATTTGAAGCCTTGAATACTTATGATGATACCGATCGACACGAAACATTTGAAAAATAATTATTCATCTGGCCTGCTATAAAAAAAACTTTAAAAGCACAAAGGACGAAGAAAATAGAAAACACTTTTGAGCACTTATGAAAGTAGTGATGTTGGACAGTTGGAAAGAGGCACTCCACTAGGCACCGAGGTGAATAGTGACCATCGCTCTACCGTCCAGTCCAAGTGGTTGGGCAGCATTTTGGAGAGGATATATAACATATACATATAAAAAAAAATGCTCAAAATCCCAGTTCGTATTTTCTAGAAATATGAGTGTAACACAAGCTCTTATGACCTGGGCATCAAACAGCTTCAGAAACAAAAAGACAGAATTGGAAAATTAGTTTAAAAACTATAATTTCCTGCACAGTATTTGGGTTCCTGCGCCACGCCCGTCCTACTGCTGCTGTCAGTTCCCTGAAAACCGTCAGAGTTCACTGAAATGATTTACGTCAGAAGGGAATACCTTCAGGTCAACGGTCGGAGCAGTCTATTGCACGACAACGGATGGTTTCCTGATCACAGCCATCATGGATGTGAAGGACATGAGACAGGAGACACTCCTCAAATTGTCACAGCAACTACCTGATGATTTTCCCTCTTCCGTGTACCTCAAAGATGTGTTCAAGACTAAATACATGCAAAAACAAAATGAATTCAATACCGTACTCAAGATTTTCTGATTGTGAAAATGGAAAAAAGTGCCCAAACGACACTAAGCTATGACACTCACATACCCTTTATGCATCATCCTGGAAAGTTGGCAAGGCTAGAGCCCCAAGCGTCTCGCCCTCTTTGAATAGACTCACGTTATATGTTGACCAGACCACACACTATAATGTGAAGGGACGACGACGTTTCGGTCCGTCCTGGACCATTCTCACAATCGACTTGACAATGGTCCAGGACGGACCGAAACGTCGTCGTCCCTTCACATTCTAGTGTGTGGTCTGGTCATCATACTTTAGCCACGTTATTGTGACTCATCGCCTCACGTTATATATGAGAAAATAACACATGTTTTTTCGCCAAACAATGACTTTGATACCAACGCCGTTTTTTTTTTATTTTAAACACAAAATACACATGTAAGGGTGGTGTCAATGCG